GTTTGACACAAAAGTTGGTCAACATTTATCTTTAACAATAAATCCATTGTGATACAAGTCCCAAAATATTTCTTGAGCGATTCTATATCACACAGGGTAGTGCATACATCATAAGATAAGAGACAAAAAACATAAGAGGAAAAAAATTGCACAGAGCATTGTACCTGGTTTGGTGGGTAGTGCTTGTGCGTCCAAAAATATCAAAATCAATGTTAAACCACTTATAGACTTTGTCATGTATTTCAAAATATTTGTCACAAATTTCCTTAGGAGTCAGTCCCTCTTCAATAGCCTTAGTCTCAGTCGCTGTACCATATTCATCAGTACCACACACATACAATACATTGTAGTTCCTTTGACGGCAATACCTACAAAAATCAAATACATAAAAGAATACGGGGTGCTTAGTGCTATAAGCAGAGGAAGAGAATTAGGCCAATTACAGTCTTTAGTGGTGGCGAATTTAAATTGGGAATGAGATTTTTCATAATGGCATGGAGGTTGTTTAGTATCAAATCGCCAAATTTTATAGCACTTCCAAAACTCAGTAATCAGTACCACACAGCCTATACACTACAATGCCTACAATGGCCCAACCAAATGCAGGAGGTCAAGTATTGAGAATTATAAACCATGTTCATTTTTATACATACCTAGCAAAAACATCTCCACTGAGAACACACCCAATTAAATTGCCAAGGTGAGGAACATTGTTCACGTAAGGGAGAGCACTAGTCACTAGTACATTTCGCTCACCAGGGACTGGAAGTCTATTATAATTATATAATCACATCATACCAAATTAAGGTTAAGAATACATTGGCTCGGGAGGTTTTGCACGGAAGCACTTTACAACGTAACTTGCATCATTCCAAGCAGCGGCAACAGGGCCCTTGAAAATACGGGAAAACATGAATGGAGTGGAAATTATAATACTTTCAACAATATATCCTTGCTCTCTCTATCCATGCTAAGAAACAACTCTCGTTTTGCGACGCGACAAAGTGACGGAGCGCAGTGCTGCATATAGCAGTTCAGCAAAGTGACCAGTTTGTGGAACAGGTTTAACCCACCCACGCCTGCTAGATGGATGGAGGAGTAGCATAATCTGCAAGCTAGCTGCTCTGCTGCATGCCTAGCCGCCCACGCCCTAATCAGGCGTATCTACGGCCCGGCCCACGACCCATGTGCGCTCACAGAAGTCAGCACACTGGCTGTGAGCCTGTGACTACTGACTAATGGAGTAATGGCTTTACTCTGATGGATCCAATTAGTTATGTGGGCAGTTTATCTGTACTACGCGTGCACATTAGTCACAGCCAAGAAACTGGTCACAGCCAAGCCATTACTCCATTAGTCAGTAATTTGCTTTTACTTTAAATTTCATTTAAAATGAAATTTAAAGTAAAAGCAAATTAAATTAAAGTCAATTTCATTTACTCAATTATCTATGATGATGATCCATTCCTGTCTCTAGATGCCTTGCCCACAATCTTTCCTCCATTATTTAGACCATGTGCTTGTGATCAGGGATCATGAGATGTGGTCTGCGAACCCTTGGATTCTACTGGATTTACGGATATAGCATTAATTGTCACGTTATATTAATATTAATTTTAGTAATCATGCAGTCTTTAGTATCATTATTATTTATTACTTTCCTTTTATGTAAAATCAGTCCGGATCGTGAATAGCATCCATCCTGATTCAGATTCCAACTTATTGACTCATTTGACTATGCATAATGATTTCACTATACCATAATAATAAAATCAAATGATTAATAAAATCATCTACATACAAAATATATAATACACTATAGTATATCTACTAAGTCAGCAAGTTCTAGCTAGCAAAAAAGTTATGCATGTACACTGATGCAGGCACACTGCACATTATGCAAATTTTAAAAAGTGAGCTTTTTTGGCTTTTCCCACGGAAATTCTTCACGACCAAAATGACCATAGGCTGCTGTTTGCTGATAAATTGGGCTTAATAAGTCAAGTTCCCTAAATAAAAAAATATTTAACTGATCTAGCACACAAATATAAGTTTTTCTGACTTTATGATCGCTCCTGGTCGAAGATCAAAGTTTTTGTTTATTATTTCAAGAATTTCTTGGTTACTTTTGACACCAGTTCCATATGTATCCACAAAAATTGATAGAGGTCTACTAACCCCTATAGCATATGAGACCTAGATAATGATATGCAATAGAATCAGTTACATATTGTCATGACATTATTATACTTGAACAATGACCCTTTTAGCTAAATCTGATGCTACAATAGACTTAGCAACCCAACGAGCAGCATAAGCACCTGAACGATCAACCTTTGTAGGGTCTTTTCCGGAGAAAGCACCACCTATAATTTTTGTGAAAACTATGAAAAGCTTGTGAATGGTATATTGACCTCCATGACCACCCCATCCTCCATATGTATCAACAATAATCTTTCGGCCAGTCAAACCAGCATCTCCCTATTACAAATATAAGTTACATAGTAAAGTAGGCAAAAATTTACTTGTGGACCACCAATGACAAAAGCTCCAGAGCTTTGCAAATGATATATAGTATTGTCATCCAGGTATTTTTCAGGTATGACACTCTATATGCACATATAATAAATGAGAACTTACTCTATATGACTTATACTTTGACAACAACATCTTTCAGGTCTTTTCTCATCTCTTCATTAGTAACATCTTCTGAGTGTTGGACACTGATAACAATTGTATGCACTCTAAGAGGTACACAAGCACCATCCTTTATGACATATTCAACTGTCACCTAAATATATATATATTATGTAATGACTATAGCAAACAATAATGAAAAAAGCCAATGTGCACCTGAGCCTTAGAATCTGGCCTAATCCAGGGCAAAGTCCGATTCCTCCTACATTCAGCTAGTTTTCTTTAAATAGATTATAACTTTTGTACATTATAGCCTGTTTGTACTAACTTGTTTAAGTTATGGGACCAAACAACAGTCACTGGCATGTGTTCAGGTGTTTCATCTGTGGCATATCCAACCATCATTCCCTATTGATGGGTAAACATTATATGAAAAGTTTTGAAAACCTGAAAAAATCAATAAAGCTTTGGGAAATTTAGACCATATAGGTGGCGGTAGGGTTGCGCATTATCATATATACTATGATGGACTCGGTGGTAGGAAAGTGCAGGTAATGCAGGCATAAAATTGAGAATACAAAAATTAGATCTAGTTGGGAAATACCTAAAAAACAAGTTACTAGTGGCATAAAAGACAAAATATCCTAAATTTAATGGTTACAGAAATCATTGCATAATGCCTAAATTTTTTAGCTGCAGCATTTTTGAAGTTTTAAAACCATTCAAGATCAACAAAATTTTTTGAGTTTTCACTTCGGCTGCACCTTTAGACCATACATTAATGCATTCAAGTTATTATTAATTCTTGCTATAATAATGGATGTTTTTGGTTTGTTTTGAAGCATATTTGAGAGCATAAAGTAGTATTTTTGAAAATAAACATGACTTCTTATGAGTTATACTGCATCAAATAATTTAAGCATCAGTGCATGAGCAGCAATGCCCAACCAAAAATAATAACATCATTTTCAATCATAAAAAATTATTATGGCTAGCAAGAGATCCTATTTTTTGTCAATAAGCCTTCCAAGAGGACTAGGACTAGTACTAGTACTTTACACTTACAAATTGGATAGTGCTTTACAGATTTGAATACGCCCAATTGGCCAAAACACGCAAGAGGGCGTGGTCATATTGCGGCGCACTTCGCCATGACTTTTCGCATTATTTTTCTTACCCCAACTGCTGTTGCAATCCTGCCACGAGACCTAAAGTTTACCAAAAATAGAGCCTACCATTTTTCAACCATTATGAACATGGTCAATGGCACCGATGTGGCCACTGACAAGTTTGCCAATAAAAAAAGCATATTCATCTAGCTACACAGTAGCTGGGTTACATATTCACTTAAATCATAGATATACAAATATTTGTATATCTATGCTTAAATTGAGCTAACTTATGCAGCATATAGGCACTGTATGCAAGCACATATATACCTGATCTCCAGCACCAACGTCTTCGTCTTTTCGACCTTCATGCACACCTTGAGCAATATCTGGACTTTGCTGCTCAATAGCAACAAGAACATTGCAAGTTTTATAATCAAATCCTGCATAGTTAAATGTACAAGTTTTGTTATGGCATAGTAGTCTGTGCATTTGGATATAAAGATTGCACACGTTTACTTTACCTATATTTGAGTCATTGTAACCAATCTTTTTGATTGTATCCCGAATGATGGTTTGGTAGTCTAAAACAGCCTTTGTAGTTATTTCTCCAAAAACAAGAATCATTCCAGTCTTTGTGGCAGTTTCTGTATATACCGGTAGTCATTAATTACAAAGCTATTTAATAAAACAATGATGCATACCGCAAGCAACTTTGCTCAATGGATCTTGCTTCAGACAAGCATCCAAAATAGCATCAGATATTTGGTCACACATCTTGTCTAATATAAAAAGATGTCTTAATAATTCATGCACAGAGCTATATTACCTGGGTGACCTTCACCAACACTTTCAGATGTAAATATAAAATGATCATTAGCCTTGTCCATTTTAATTAGCTATAGTCTCCACGGCAGCTCCTAATTTTTGATGCACTATACTTTGTGTGCAGCTAATGTATAAATATATACAAGCAGTTGCATGTATAGCAGTTCAAGGCCAGTTAAACTGGATAAACCAGTAAAAACTCGACAAACAGGTAAAAACTCGATAAACCAGTTCATCCAAGGAGATTAAGAATCTGCTGATGTATGTTGACACTAAAATTACAATAACTGTCTTGAGAATTGAGAAAAGTCAAGCATAATCATATTTTACTAAGAAGTGCATTACGTCATTCACATGTATCCCATGAATTGAAATTTAAATGAAATTTAGACACACTATTATAGCCAGAGAATCTGCTAATGTACGCTGACACTAAAATTACAATAACTGTCTTGAGAATTGAGAAGAGTCAAGCATAATCATATTTTACTAAGAAGTCCATTACGTCATTCACATGTATCCCATGAATTGAAATTTAAATGAAATTTAGACACACTATTATAGCCAGAGAATCTGCTAACGTACGCTGACACTAAAATTACAATAACTGTCTTGAGAATTGAGACGAGTCAAGCATAATCATATTTTACTAAGAAGTGCATTACGTCATTCACATGTATACCATGAATTAAAAGTTAAATGAAATTTAGACACACTAATATAGCATTTGCTTTATTTCTATCAAAACTATAGTCAGCCTGCTTAAAATTATAGTAATTAATGACCACACAAATCAACAAGTGTCATTTCCAGAATATTTCTTTTTCAAACCCAAAACTTGTGAGTCTTCAAGTTTCACAAAGAGAGGGAAAGGCTACAATAAGATAAAAACCATTAAAAAGACTATATTATATATACCTCATTGATCTTGTGACCAACTGCAAGAAAAGGGGCCATTGCTTCCGGAATGGCAATACAATTCTCCATAACCTGCCAGAATACAAACAGATGATTCTAATGTTATTATAATAGTAAAACTGACATTCAGTTGCTTGAGTATGTCGCTCCCTGCAGATGGCATAAATGGGTAAAGCAGTATACACAAGAGGTAGACTACATTTGTACTTATACCAATTATACTGTCAGCTCTCAACCTAAATTTTTTCAGTCAATTAATTCAATATAAATTTATACTTCACTTGTCTGCATTGTTGTTCAATTTCAGTAACTTCCATGGCTCTCCTGCCTGCAAGTATCCATTGCCAAGTTTTGAAATGCTTAGAATACACTTCAGTCCATCTCGAAGCTTACACTTTTCCATGTTCTCTATGTAGTTTTGAAGTTCAACATTTATTTGCTCTAAAAAATGGATGTCTCCATCATTTGGAAAAACAGGAGGCATAACTAGCTCGTAATTTTTCCCCAAAAAAGTGAGAGTTCTATATTCATTTACATTAAATGAAATCTAATAGTTATAATAGTCAAACCTGTTAATAAAGTTTCCAAGGTTGTTGACAAGCTCAGCATTAACTTTAATGGCAAAGTCGGACCAACTGAAAACAGAATCTTGAGTTTCTGGCCGAACAAGCAGCAGATAAAATCGAAACACATCGGCCGGAATACCGGTGTCAATCGCATCATTACCAAACACACCAACACCACGGCTCTTAGAAAACTTCCCATCCTCATAATTTAGAAACTCTGTCAATGGTAAATGTAAATGATGGTTATATATTTAGCATACATGTGTACCTGTAGATGAAATGCTGTCAAGAAATGTATATGGCTTTTTTGTTCCAATCAAAGAAGCTGGAAACACAACAGTGTGAAAAGGAACATTGTCTTTAGCCATAAACTGGTACAATTTGACCTACAGTTTATGCATAATGCTACATCAAATATAATTATCATATCCATATACCTCATCAGGATTTTTCCACCATTTTTCCCACTCATCAATGTAGCCAGCAGTAATTGATATGTACCTGTTATGCATTGCATGGTACCATCATCATGATACTGAGTCTGATATAAGCTTACCCAATAGGTGCATCAAACCAAACGTAGAAAACTTTATTGGTATAGCCATCCAAAGGTACTGGCGTTCCCCACTTCAAGTCACGACTTATGCATCTTCGATTCAAACCATCACGTAACCAAGTTGAAGTAATGATCTTAGCATTGTTGGACCATACCCCTTTATATTGCACTAAAGTATATATAATGCAAGTAATAGTGTTAATACCTTGATCAGATGACTTCATAAACAATTCATTGACGGGGTCTTGTAGCTACATGCATAATACAATGCTTATACAATTATGATAATGAAGCAAACCTTAGCTAGATCAAGAAACAGATGGTTTGAAGTCTTTATGCAAGGCTCGCTAGAGCATAATTTGCACTTGGGAGACTTCAAATTAAACAAATGCAATACATTAAGTTGTTTTAAAAATGCTACAGTTCAATTGCTTACCTTGAGCTCAATGGCATTAATCAGGTGTCCACATTTATCACACTGGTCCCCACGTGCACCCTATATAATATAATCATAAAATAAGGTTGGATGAATTATATACAAACATCAAAAGAGCAAAATGGGCAAATGCCTTCTACAAATCTGTCTGCCAAGAACCTATACATAATATACATATTATTTGAAGTTTAGCGATTTATAATACCTATCACATGTTTGACACAAAAGTTGGTCAACATTATCTTTAACAATAAATCCATTGTGATACAAGTCCCAAAATATTTCTTGAGCGATTCTATATCACACAGGGTAGTGCATACATCATAAGATAAGAGACAAAAAACATAAGAGGAAAAAAATTGCACAGAGCATTGTACCTGGTTTGGTGGGCAGTGCTTGTGCGTCCAAAAATATCAAAATCAATGTTAAACCACTTATAGACTTTGTCATGTATTTCAAAATATTTGTCACAAATTTCCTTAGGAGTCAGTCCCTCTTCAATAGCCTTAGTCTCAGTCGCTGTACCATATTCATCAGTACCACACACATACAATACATTGTAGTTCCTTTGACGGCAATACCTACAAAAATCAAATACATAAAAGAATACGGGGTGCTTAGTGCTATAAGCAAAGGAAGAGAATTAGGCCAATTACAGTCTTTAGCGGTGGCAAATTTAAATTGGGAATGAAATTTTTTATAATGACATGCAGGCTGTTTAGCACTGATCAAATCGCCAAATTTTATAGCACTTCCAAAACTCAGTGATCAATACCACACAGCCTACACACTATGATGGCCCAACCAAATGCAGGAGGTCAAGCACTGAGAGTTACAGAGTATGTTCATCTTTATACATACCTAGCAAAAACATCTCCACTGAGAACACACCCAATTAAATTACCAAGGTGAGGAACATTGTTCACATAAGGAAGAGCACTGGTCACTAGTACATTTCGCTCACCAGAGACTGGAAGTCTATTATAATACAAAAAAAATCACATACGAAATTAAGGTTAAAATAGATCTACATTGGCTCGGAAGGTTTTGCACGGAAGCACTTTACAACGTAGCTTGCATCATTCCAAGCAGCGGCAACAGGGCCCTTGAAAATACGGGAAAACATGAATGGAGTGGAAATTATAATACTTTCAATAATATATCCTTGCTCTCTCTATCCATGCTACGAAACAACTCTCGTTTTGCGACGCGACAAAGTGACAGAGCGCAGTGTTGCATTATAGTAGTTCAGCAATGACCAGTTTGTGGAACAGGTTTAACCCACCACGCCTGCTAGAAGGAGGAGTCACAGCTGCATGAGCATGAGCTTATGAGCAATATCTATGCCTCTAGACGTAGCCAACGACCCACGTGCGCTCACAGAAGTCAGAAAATAGAGATGAGGCATCGGATTTCATTGAGAAAGTTGGGACGGAATAGTAAAGAAAGAATGACTCTTTTCAAAAACCTTGTGAGTAATCTTGTCAAACACGAAAGAATTGTGACTACTCTGCCAAAGGGGAAGGAATTAAGACGGATCAGTGACAAAGTATATAAATAATTTTACCCTCTGAAACTAGTGTATTTTCCTATCCTGTAGGTAGTTACTTTAGGAAAGAAAGATACTCCGTATGCTCACCAAGAAGTAAAATGGTGGATGAGAGTGAGTAATTCATTATCAAATGAGAAGTTAATTTTTATTAGGAACCACCTCTTATCGATAAAGTATTTAAAGTCCTGAAGTATCGCTATGAAGAGAGGCCAGGAGGATACACTAGAGTGCTACGTATTCCTAACAGGGAGGGAGACAAGGCTCCAATGGCTGTTGTTGAACTGGTTGATAATCCTTTGCCTCCGCTTCGTCCCTCAAAAGAAGAATATCTCAGACAAAAAAAGGCTCTTAGCAAAAATAAGAAAGATAATGATAAAAAAGTGGTGGTATCAGTAACAAAATAAAAGTTTAAATTTGAGAGGAACATTAGTTTGTAAAATAATTTTACGATGTTGTCATGAAGTATGGTATCCCGTTTGTATTATTCACTTGACCAGATGAATTCTAAATAATCATATTATCATTATTATAATTATTGCGACTCACCGTTGAACAATAATCCTGTGATGTTATTTCAATAGCATCTATAATAATTATAATAAAATACTGACTGAGAGACTATAGAGGTAATTACTTACAATCTGGAGTGGGGACATCGTTAATATCTACTGCATGCACAGACTCGCTGCTCTGGCCTGGCTTATCACCAGAGGAGGACCAGCTCCCTTGATTAATAGGAACAAGACAAAAATCCTATTTAAAATGTATGTGAAGGATTGTTTGCCACATTTATTAGCAAGAATCAGCTTGAAGTTTCTACACAACATAGGTACATGTATATGGCTATATGTATCAGAAAAAATGGAGAATTCTTTTCAGTTTTAATGAAATTTTTTTGGCTAAAAATCCTGGACTTTGGCCCGATTTTGGAGCAACTTTAAAAATTCATAAAAAATCCAATTTTGATCGGAATCAGCTCAAATTTTCTACGTAACATAAGAACATGTATTTGTATCAGGAAAAAATATAAAAATGCAAAATTCTCTCCTAGCCATTTTTGGAAAAATTGGCCTGAGACCATGTACTATAGTACAGGGACTTTGGCCTGATTTTGGAGTAACTTTAAAATTCATAAAAAAATCCAATTTTGATCGGAATCAGCTCAAACTTTCTATGCAACATAAGTACATGTATATATATCAGAAAAAAATATAAAAATGCAAAATTCTCTCCTAGCCATTTTTGGCGAAATTGGCCTGAGACCCTGTACTATAGTACAGGGACTTTGGCCCGATTTTGGAGCAACTTAAAAAATTCATAAAAAATCCAATTTTGATCGGAATCAGCTCAAATTTTCTACGCAATATAAGTACATGTATACGTATCAGAAAAAAATATGAAAATGCAAAATTTTCTCCTTGCCATTTTTGGTAAAATTTGGCCCGAGACCATGTACAGGGACTTTGGCCTGATTTTGAAGCAACTTTTAAAATTCATAAAAAATTTAACTTTAATTGTAATCAGCTCAAACTTTTTACACGACATAAGTACATGTATACGTATCAGAAAAAATATGAAAATGAAAAATTCTCTCCTTGCCATTTTTGGCAAAATTTGGCCCCAAAACCATGTAATAATTATAATAGTACAGGGACCTCAGCCTGATTTTGGAGCAACTTTAACAATTCATTAAAAGATGCTTACACATAAAAAAAAACTAGAAAAAGGAACATTCCTCTCATTTTTGATGAAATGTACATGCCTACATGGCTCCGACCACAGAAAAAACACAGTCACTCCTGGGCTAATTAAAGATAAGCTCATACCTTACTGTGTTGTCTTTCCCACCAATTACCAAGCTCAGCTCTACAGACCATCTGTCTTCTATGAATCTCTATTTATATAAATAAATATAATATTGCCATCTCTCTAAAATTCAACACTCTAAATAAATTAGTACCTAAAAGTACATAATAAATAGTATATTCAAAACAAAAGAAAATATTAAAACAAAAGGAAGCGTTTAATGACTAATTATAATGCTAGTATATATACTAATATTTACCTTCCAATACAGCAGGTGGGACTAATTTAACAGCAGCCATGAATTCAAGCTTCTAAAATGCACAATAAGATAGTAACATTGATTTTTTTAAAACACACCTTTCTCTCCTCTTCCGCCATTGTTTTAAAAGGCGTGGTTTGGGCATGACTCGGGCGTGGCTCATTAACGTGGGCGTTAGTTTGCTAAGTCATCCATTTAGAATGTCACTGTTGACTCATTACCAATGAGTCATTGATTTCTGGCATTATATATTACTACACAGACTGACCCAGACTGTCACAGTTAGTGCACAAACTCTGGTCACTGGCAGACATTGTCACAGGGCCTCAGCTGTTGGCTACCAAAGATAAAATGGACTGCCCTTATCATTCTCAGAGGTGGAGGTCTGTCTTTCAGTGCATTATCAATAAACTGAGGCTTGAAGGAATGACCTATTTCAAAAGCAAACATGTTAGGAATATTCCACAGGTCATTTGCACCTGCCCAGGTAGGTATATCTAAATATTACTGTATTAGCCACTATTTTTAATGTTGATTATTATTGTGCTCTGACCTAATCTACTATGACTAAGCTACAGAAGAATGTTGCCTTGCATTGTGCAATACTTTTGCTTATGCATGCTTTTAATTAGTAAATGCTGAGCTAATATTATTGTTGTGTAGGTAAAAATACGTCAAGTCATGATTGCACAATGCCAGCAATTCCTAGTGACGAATTAGCAAGTTGGTGCAAAGGACTGAAGAGCAACAGGGAACTAAGTAATAAGTCTTTGATTGATGCTTTGTCACGAATGCACATGGCATCTACTGACAATTCTCATTTAATGAATGCTATAGCTTTAGCATATCACATACGTAAAGGTATGTACTACACTATGGGGCGTGGGCTAGTCATATATATATTTAATACAGGTAATGTCAGTTTCCTTGAACCTAAAGTAAAGCCCCAAGACTCAGTTGCTAAGCCTGAGCCACTTACAATTGAAAAAGAATTTTTTATTGACATTCCAGTGGCTCCTACTCAATACATTGGCACACTAATAGGAACAAATGGTACTCATTTGAAAAAACTCTGTGAGACTCACGGGATTAGTAGCATTCACTTGGGAGAGCATACTAAAAGTAGGAAACGTATACAGAACAGTTTCCTATACAATACTCCCGTCAGAGTGACATATACTGTCCCCTTAACTCATGGGAAGCATGGTGTTTTTGAAAGAGCATTGCATGAAAGGGTCAGCATCATCAAGAAGAAGAGAGAGAATCATTTTGAAGCAGTAAGAATTTACCAAGCAATCTTTTTTATATTTATTGATGATTAGACTCAGAAATTCATGAAACATTTGGCTGACAAGAGAGAGGAAAGAAAGAGGCGATTTCAAGCTAAAGAGGATGAAACATGTAAAGATTATTTTGTAATTGCTTAGTAGTATGTTTGTTTAATTTTTACAGATGAGTATACAGATGTAAAGGTATTTTCAGCTGGAAATTATTATCAAGGCAAAGGGAAAAGGAATCGCACAAAATCTGATCAGCAAAAGTAATAATACAATAGTAATAATGATATTGATAATAAATCGGCTGATTTTATGTTTAGGAAGGGAAAATTTCGTAATTTACAAGGTGGTCATTGCCTTCATTGCCTGACGTCATTTAAACCTGATGATACACAATGCCAATATCATCCAGGATACATAGGTATAGCAAGTCCTTTGAATGCATGGTCATTATGATTCAAGTGCATACTGCTCTAGTTCTAATACTAGTAGTATCTTGCATTTATTCTATTTGTTGTTATGCTGTCTAGTTAATGATGACCTAGCAATGAAAGTATGGAGTTGCTGTAAAAAGGATCATGAGGATGGCTTGACTCCACAAGAGGAGCATGTCTCAACTGGGTATGTTCATTTTTGTCATATTGAAAAGTATAGTAGCTTGCTTCTGATGAATACTGAAACCATACAACTTGCAGCTATTAGCTTTTTTTTGGTAGCTGTAAACCTCGCTTCATTCCTTTGTCTAATTGCATATTGAGCTGGGACTGTTCTGAAACTGGTATTTTATTATCTTTCCTTTATAGGTGTACTTTTGGTAGACATCTTTGGAGACCTCCTAAGTCAAAGAAAACATCTAAACAAGGCAGTGGCAATAGCATTAGTGAAGATTTAGTTGTGAAGAAATTATTTTAACATAATAGTCTATAAATACAATACAATACATTATAATACAATGCTACCAATATAAAGTGTAACATAACAGTCAAGTAGAAGTATTTTAAGCAGCTATTATTTTTATTGTTGCCTGACAATGAATAACATTTCTTTATAATATTATTCATTAGTGTGTCATGCCAATACTCCATATTCTTATCACCACAGTCAGGTGAGCTTTTATCAGTCATATGAACTCTTTGTACAAACTGTATATTAGAGACAGGCTGGGCTTAGGTATATTACTATAAAAACAGCAGTGTAATTACATGTTCTGAAAGCAAAAAACAACAGAATAAACAAAAGTATAATAGTCAAAGTATATAGTCAATCTGTCTTTATTTTATATTCTCATAGTCGCCTCCTCCTTTTCCTGCTTTACGTCTTATGAAGTTCACCAGAGGCCCAAAGGTAAAAACACATCCATCCTATTGTGTAAAGATAAATTGTAAATGAATATAGCAATAATCTATTATACCTTAACAAGGAATGGTAATGAGAACCACAGTTCTTTCTGAGGAATCATTTCTTTGCCTTCCTTTTCAAATTTCCTGTTCAAAACAACAGCTCCAACAACAAAGTAAGTGATAAAACCAATGAGCATCCTAAATGATTTTATTTATCATGCTTTGTAATGAGAACATTGACATGTAGTATGTACTTACACAATAACCAGCACAATGCCAATTATACCAGGGGCTACACTGCTTTTGCCACTTTTTCCACCACCCCCACCACCACCACCACCTTCAGGTTTAGTAGGAGGGTCACTTGGTATTGAGGAGTCGCCACAACCTCCAGGACATGCACACTTTGTTGTCAAGTGGTATATCTTATAAGGAGAGGCAAATAAAAGGAATGAGTTTTACTAGCTTACATATGTCAAAGAAAGTTCTACATCACCATCAGCAGTAATTGACGGGGTGTCTGCATTCTGATCACATGTTAGATATACTTTAGTAACCCTATATGACATGACATAAACACCAAGGCATGAAATTAGTGAAAAGTCATGTTCTAAAGTACTTATAACCTTGCCCACAATAGCCCTCTTATTACCTTGAATCCTGACCATTGTCATACTGCAAGTAATTATTACCAGTGCTAGAATCAATGTACATTGTTTCAGTCGATGCATCACCAAGCATATAATAATCATAATTTTGAGTTGACTGGCAAGCCTATAAATGTTTTAAATGTACATATATGCCTCACCATAGTGTTACAAAATTCTTACAGCAGTTTTTCCATCACTACAGCTACCAGATCCCTCGTAATACCAAATGCAAGGGTTGTAAGAGTATGTGAATTGAGTGTCTCCATTACTCTGTGGTATGCCGGTGAATCTGCAAGAGTTAAAATCAGTAAAAGTAAAACTAGCTCATGCTGGCTACTTTGCAGTTCCATCAGTGCTTGATATAGAAGATAAGTCAATAGTCCCATCAGCAGTGTCACAGACGCAACCAGGTTTCCCTGATGGAGGTATGCATGGTTGCTGAGCTGAGGAGAGCCCAACCAAAACAAGCTGAAAGAAGACAAAGCCTCTCATCACCCTCTTTGCTTCAACACGCAGATTTAACCACACCCAATATAATAATTTATTATGAATATCAAGAATGCATGATATTTTTTTAGTCAGTTCCTTCTCTGCTTTTGCCAATTTTTGCTTGATAATTTTTACAAGTGAACCAAATGTAAAAATTTACAAAAATAATGCAGTTCAGTTGTGCAAGAACAAAATAAAAACTTTACTGCTTTAGCCGATTCGGGTAATGCAAACCAGAATAATTGCAGCGGAATTAAATAAAAGAATAAAATATAAGCAAAAGTATAATGGTCAAAGTATATAGTCAATCTGTCTTTATTTTAAATTCTCATAGTCGCCTCCTCCTTTTCCTGTTTTACGTCTTATGAGGTTCACTAGAGGTCCAAATGTAAAAACACATCCATCCTATTGTGTAAAGATAAATTGTAAATGAATATAGCAATAATCTATTATACCTTAACAAGGAATGGTAATGAGAACCACAGGTCTTTCTGGGGAATCATTTCTTTGCCTTGCTTTTCAAATTTCCTGTTCAAAACAACAGCTCCAACAACAAAGTAAGTGACAAAACCAATGAGCATCCTAAATGATTTTATTTATCATGCTTTGTAATGAGAACATTGACATGTAGTATGTACTTACACAATAACCAGCACAATGCCAATTATACCAGGGGCTACACCACTTTTGCCACTGTTTTTACCACCACCTCCACCACCAGGCTTAGTGGGAGGGTCAGTTGGTACTGGTGTATCACTGCATCCTCCAGCACATGCACACTTTGTTGTCAAGTGGTATATCTTATAAGGAGAGGCAAATAAAAAGAATGACTTTACTAGCTTACATATGTCAAAGCAGTGTCTCCGTCACCATCGGCAGTAATTGACGGGGTGTCTGCATTCTGATCGCATGTTAGATATACTTTGGTAATCCTAAATGACATAAAGATGAAGGCATGAAATTATTGAAAAGCTTATATTTTCCTTCCCACAAATGGCACTAGTATAAGTATTACCTGGAATCATCTCCATTGTCATACTGCAAGTAATTGTTACCAGTGTCAGAATCAATGTACATAGTTTCAGTTGATGCATCACCGAGCATATAAGAATCTCCACTTTGATCTGACTGGCAAGCCTATAATTAATGCACAATGATGCATGTCAACATTCATGTCACAATTATCCTTACAGCAGCATTGCCATAGTTACAGCTACTATATCCCTCGTAATAGCTAGTGCAAGGGTTGTAAGAGTATACAAATTGAGTGTCTCCATCACTCTGTGGTATGTTACTGAATCTGCAAGAGTGAAACCATTTAGTGCAGTTAAAACTATAGTGCATGCTTGCTACCTTGCAGTTCCATCAGTGTTTGATATAGAGGATAAATCAATAGTCCCATCAGCAGTGTCACAGACGCAACTAGGTTTCCCTGATGGAGGTATACATGGTTGTTGAGCTGAGGAGAGCCCGACCAAAACAAGCTGAAAGAAGATAAAGCCTCTCATCATCCTTTTTGAATTTGCTGCAACACGAACGCGCCACACCCAAAACAAATAATGAATAATACATGATAAATATTCCTTCTGTGCTTATGCCCATGTTTTGCTTGATATTTTTTTACAAGTGGACGAAATGTAAAACATGCCCTTCCTACAAAAATGCAGTTTAGTTCTGCAAGGACAAAATAAAGACTTTACTACTTTTTAGCCAATTTGGGTAATGCAAACCAGAATAATTGCTGTGGAATTATATTAAAATCAATAATCGCTGGCAAAGCCAATTATAAGGAAAAGTATTGCATTCAAAGTATATAGTTAATCTGTCTTTATTTTATATTCTCATAGTCGCCTCCTCCTTTTCCTGTTTTATGTCTTATGAGGTTCACTAGAGGTCCAAATGTAAAAACACATCCATCCTATTTGTGAAGATAAATTGTAAATGAACATAACAATAATCTATTATACCTTAACAAGGAATGGTAATGAAAACCACAGGTCTTTCTGGGGAATCATTTCTTTGCCTTGCTTTTCAAATTTCCTGTTCAAAACAATAGCTCCAATCACAAAGTAAGTGACAAAACCAATGAGCATCCTAAATGAAAGTCAGTGCTTTGCAATGAGAACATTGACATGTAGTATGTACTTACACAATAACCAGCACAATGCCAATTATACCAGGGGCTACACTGCTTTTGTCACTTTTTCCACCACCACCCCCACCACCACCTCCAGGCTTAGTAGGAGGGTCACTTGGTACTGGCCTGTCACTACATCCTCCAGCACATGCACACTTTGTTGTCAAGTGGTATATCTTATAAGGAGAGGCAAATAAAAAGAATGAGTTTTACTAGCTTACATATGTCAAAGGAGTATCTTTATCACCATCAGCAGTAATGGATGGGCTGTCTGCATTCTGATCACATTTTAGATATACTTTGGTAATCCTAAATGATACCGAGGCATGAAAATAGTGAAAAGCTCATGCTATATAGTGAGAAATTTTGGAGCGAGTTAAATTTGGCAAATTGTTAAATTTCGGTGAATGGTTGATTTAATTCGGTGAAACTACGGCCACATGCCATTGAACATGCACATAATGGCTAAAAGTGGTGGATTTTTATTTTGGCAAATGGCTATAAAAATGCCAAATTTTCCAAATTTAATTCCCTTCAAAATTTCCCGCTATACAATATTCTCTTCTCCTATAAATACTTACAGCCTTGCCCACAAATAGCACTATTATTACCTCGAATCCTGACCATTGTCATACTGCAAGTAATTGTTACCAGTGTCAGAATCAATGTACATTGTTTCAGTTGTTGAATCACCAAGCATAAAAGAATCTTGAGTTATTGGAGTTGACTGGCAAGCCTATAATGAATGTACATGCATGTCAACATTCGTGTCAGAGTATCCTTACAGCAGCATTGCCCCAGTTACAGGTAGTATATCCCTCATAATAGCTAGTGCAAGGGTTGTAGGAGTATACAAATTGAGTGTCTCCATCACTCTGTGGTATGTTAGTGAATCTGCAAGAGTGAGGCCATTCAGTGTAGCTAAAACTAGTGCATGCTTGCTACCTTGCAGTTCCATCAGTATTTGATAGAGAAGTTAAATCAATAGTCCCATCGGCAGTGTCACAGACGCAACTAGGTAAACCTGATGGAGGTATGCATGGTTGCTGAGCTGAGGAAAGTCCAACCAAAACAAGCTGAAAGAAGACAAACCCTCTCATCATCCTCTTATTTTTGCAGATTCGACCACACCCAAAATAAAATGATGGATAGTTGAATACAATAATAGATCTACACATAGATCTAGTCTGTTCCTTCTGTGCTTTTGCTTTTTTTGCTTAATAATTTTACAAGTGGACCAAAACTAAAAATATACCCTTCCTACAAAAAATAATGCAGTTCAGTTCCACAAGGACGATACTTTAGCCAATTCAGGCAATGCAAACCAGAATAATTACTGTGGAATTAAATAAAAGAAAAAAAATTATATAGGTATAAGCAAAATATGATATTCAAAGTATATAGTAAATCTGTCTTCATTTTATATTCTCATAGTCACCTCCTCCTTTTCCTACTTTACGTCTTATGAGGTTCACTAGAGGTCCAAATGTAAAAACACATCCATCCTATTGTGTGAAGATAAATTGTAAATGAACATAGCAATAATCTATTATACCTTAACAAGGAATGGTAATGAGAACCACAGGTCTTTCTGGGGAATCATTTCTTTGCCTTCCTTTTCAAATTTCCTGTTCAAAACAACAGCTCCAACAACAAAGTAAGTGACAAAACCAGTGACCATCCTAAATGAAAGTCAGTGCTTTGCAATGAGAACACTGACATGTAATGTACTTACACAATAACCAGCACAATGCCAATTTCACCAGGAGCTACACCACTTTTGCCACTGTTTTCACGACCACCTCCACCACCACCACCGGGCTTAGTAGGAGGGACAGTTGGTATTGATGAATCGCTACATCCTCCAGGACATGCACACTTTGTTGTCAAGTGGTATATCTTATAAGGAGAGGCAAATAAAACAAAAAAGACTGTGCTTTACTTACATATGTCAAAGGAGTGTCTCCATCACCATCGGCAGTAATTGATGGGCTGTCTACATTCTGATCACACATTAGATATACTTTAGTAACCCTATATGACATAAACACCAAGGCATGAAACTCATGAAAAACCAGTTCATCAAAGTACTTTGCCTCACCCACAAATAGCACTAGTATTATTACCTGCCATCATCTCCATTGTCATACTGCAAGTAATTATTACCTGTGTCAGAATCAATGTACATAGTTTCAGTTGATGCATCACCGAGCATATAATAATTATCATTTTCAGTATACTGGCAAGCCTATATAATTAATGTATATGTATGTCAACATTAGTGTTACAAAATCTTACAGCAGTGCTGCCATAGCTACAGCTACTATATCCCTCGTAATAGCTAATGCAAGGGTTGTAAGAGTATGTGAATTGAGGGTCTCCATTAGTCTGTGGTATGTTGGTGAATCTGCAAGAGTGAAACCATTCAGTATAACTAAAACTATAAATACCTTGCAGTTCCATCAGTGTTTGATATAGAGGATAAGTCAATAGTCCCATCAGCAGTGTCACAGACGCAACTAGGTTTCCCTGATGGAGGTATGCATGGTTGCTGAGCTGAGGAGAGCCCAACCAAAACAATCTGAAAGAAGACAAAGCCTCTCATCATCCTCCTTGCAGATTCGACCACACCCAAAATAAAAACAGTTTAATTATCAATTTGTGCTCATAATAAATTTGAGCTCATAATAATAAAAAGCTTAACATGAATTACATAGTTGATAATAGATCTTGTTTTTCTGTTCCTTCTGTGCTTTTGCCCATTTTTTGTTTGATAATTCTAACAAGTGGACCAAATGTAAAAATGCATCCTTCCTACAGAAGAGAACAGAGCTATAGCACTGATGACATACAAAAAAGGTTTTACCTTAACCAATCCTGGTACCGCAAACCAAAATAATCGTTGTGGGATTAAATCATAGCCTTTCTTTTGATACTTATATTTCAAAACTACTGCTCCCACTATAAAATAAGTTAAAAAACCTGCAAAGAAACTGCAAATGTATGCAGTGAGTGATTTAACATAATAACTTTATGGATGTCTCTCACAGCATTATGAGTGTAATTCCTACAGGGCCAGATACATCCTTCCCATTCTGATACTGACACCCATCAGGACAGGCACACTTTGAGCGAAGGTCAAATTTCTATGTACAATAAAGTAAACATCATGTTTTGTCATTAGTTACATAAGTAAGTGGCATATCTCCATCTCCTTTAGCTGTCAACTCTGGATCTTTTTTGCTTTCATCACAAATCAAATCAATGATGGATAGTCTGTGATTATAAATACAACTCTCTATGTGATTATATGACTATTATTTGTTGTACCTTCCTTCTGTCCCACCATTATACTGTAAATATGTCCTACTACCATCGATTTGAAATTGTTCATTTGCAATAAGTCCACATGAACGATAATTCCCATTTGTATCTTTCTGGCATACCTACCATAAATGATAATAATGGCATATGATTTAAGGTTTCACATCTGGTAACCTAGTGATAATTCTAACAATTTAAGCTAAAAAAATTCTGTTATCAAATCAAACTATACAATACTGAGTTGACTGACAATCAATCTGTTCCCCCAGCCCTTCTCACATTGAAACGCAATTAAAAGCCTCGTGAAAAGCTTACTGCACTAACTGCCGAGCTGACTTCATCACCACCACAGAGCTGATTATTAGTAATCCCATAACAGGGATTAAAAGTATAAGCCTGCCCATTACTGTCTTTTACATCTTTAAATCTGCAAGAATCATAATTGAATTATAATATTAGTTCAGACATGACTAACTTAGGAGTGCTTTCATCATACAAGGGTCTTAGATCAATGGTCCCTTGCCCAGTCTCACATACACAATTAGGAGCTCCCTGGGGTGGTGTACAACGCTGTGCAAACAATACAGACCAGTTACAGGATGTCAGGAGGACCAAAACAAGCCAAAGCATCTTTTTGTTGGTTTTTCATGAATGATGGGTGGGTCTGAGAGAAGCCACGTGATGCTTGCTTTGCAGATTGCAGGCTGGTATGGTATTCATGAGCTGAGTATTATACTCATGTGACTCATCACTGGCTGGGATAATAACAAAATATATCATAATTTTAATCAGCATAAGAATACTACAGTTTGTCATAGTCACTTGGAGATTTATCGCCTCTTAGGACAAGACCTCTAATTGAGTTAAAAGTAAACAAAGCTCCATCCTATAATGTAAGGTGAAAATAAAATGAATTAAGACTTTTCCTTAAATTTACTTTAATGAGATAAGGAAGAACAAACCAAAATTCATGATTTGGTATCATTTCACGTCCGCTTTTTTGAAAACGATACTTTCTTACTACTATACCGATTACAAAGTATAATGCAAGACCAAATAAAGAACTAAATGATATTGAACAATTTAATATCATCATAAAAATTGTAGTTTACTGACAGAAAAATTAGCGTTAGTCCAATTGCTCCAGATTTATCACTACCACCAGCTCCTCCTCCAGGTTTTGGTTTACTTCCATGACATCTTCCAGGACATCCACATTCCGTCCTCAATTGAAAATCCTGTTTAACAACACTCATCAATACTATAATATTCTATTCAAACTCACATATCTATATGGCACATCTCCGTCATCAAATGATCTGATTGAGGGTGTTGTAGCTGATTCATCACAAATTACTTCAACTACAGTTATTCTGTATTTCATGTGTGCATATCAATAAATACAATGACTGGAATAATAATGATCAACAGGTCATTGTCAGTTAAGGTTAAAAATACATGATTATATAATCAGCTTTAACTGTACCTGCCTCCCTCGCCCCCATCATATTGCAATTCAGTCTTTCCATTTGAATAATACTTAAAAGTCTCTGTTGAAGTCAATCCACAGGAGTACTGATCATCAAATGAAGTCTCTTCCTGACAGGCCTATGTACATGCAAAAGTATAATCATGATAGCTGGATCTATCATAGGCTTACTGCATTAACAGCACCGTTTATTCCACAACCATTTGTACCAGTTTGAAACCCATAGCAAGGATTGTAGGAGTATTCATACCTTTCAAATGTTTCTCCCTGTATGTTTTTGAACCTACATACCATTATTTCAAATGAGGCAGCAGCCCGGGCAATGACCTACCTAGGGGTTCCATCGCTGTTTGCAATTGAAGTTAAGTCTATTCTTCCTTGAGGTGTATCGCAAACACAAGAGTCTAGTCCTACTATGTTGCAGTTAATCTGACCAGTGACTGTGTACTTAACACTGCAAGCGTAGGCAATTAGAAGCACTGGAAACAAAGAGCGTCTTCTCAGCAGCTCCATCTTTAGCAGCCCCACCCCTTAAAAATTTTCACATGCCTACGCTAATTTTAAAAGCCTACTCACACCCACGCAAATTTTTATAGCAAGTCTTATGATTGATAGTCAGCATAAGATAAGTATTATCTGCTCTTGTGGTTAGCAACATAAAAATATTATTCACAATCTATAAGATTAGTCCTAGATTGGTTGATAGTCTTTGTACTTCACTCTAATGCATGGTGTTGCAATAAATTTCACTCCGTCCTATATGGAAATAATCTGTTTTAATTCAGTTTATGGTGCCCTCATACAAACCTTTACAAGAAATGGTAGGCTAAACCAGAACCTTTTATTAGGAATTATGTCAGTGCCGCTTTTTTTTTGATGAAATTTAAGAATAATACCACCGATAATAAAGTAAGCCAATAGTCCAGTCAGAGCCCTGCCAGTCATAAAGGTAAAAGTAACTACATACATTCAAGGCTTACAGTGAGATTAATATAGCACCGATATATCCAGAATCATCTGAACCTGATGAATGTTTTTTTATACAAGCTTCATTTGTATAAAGATTAAAGAGATAAAGATACGGTGTTTCTGAATCACCAGTAGTATTAATTATTGGATTAACTGCTGCTTCATCACAGTGTAGATAGACAATGCCTGTTCTATAATAAGATAGAATTTACCATGCCTAGTATAGTCTCGCTGGCCGGCAAGGGTCTGGCTAGCGAGACTATGCCTAGTATACACTACATTAGTACCTGCTTTTATCTCCTCCACTGTAATGCAACTCATAATTTCCCTCAGAATCATAATACATGGCTTCTGTATCAATAGTAGAAACAAGAGTTTTTTCATCCTGGCAAATCTATAATGAAATCATGCCAATAAATATATACACATTGATTGTGTAATCTACTTACTGCAGTATTCCCATTATTACAATCACCCTCACTGCCTACACTAAAGCCAAAGCAAGGGTTGTACTGATAATGATAATAACCATGAAAAAAGTCAGAATCAGCAAACCTTTATATATCAAAATACTTCTAAAAGATTTATAATAATATAATATATACAGCTTACTTTGCACTTCCATTATTTTGAGTTATTTTTGTCAAATCTATTGTTCCATGATGTGTTTTGCAGACACAGGTTGGCTCTCCTGAAGGAGGGGAGCAGCGAGTAAGAGACGACCCAAAGCAAATAGGCAAAAGAGAAACCAAACAGACAGCAATATGCATTTTTACAAGCAAACACGCCCACTGGCTTGCAATAATTATGTTTATTATTCTATTGTAAACATAATTCATTATCACCATCATTTCTAATCCCTTTCATGTAGTATATTATAAATTTATGCTCCCACCTATGCTATAGCAAAACAGCAACATAAAAATCTTATTCACAGTTTATATTAAGTCTAAGATTAATCCTAGATTGGTTGATAGTCTTTGTACTTCACTCTCATACATGGTGTTGCAACAAATTTCACTCCATCCTGTTGTGGAAATAATTTATAGTAGCATTTTAAATTTCACCATGCCTTCATACAAACCTTTACAAGGAATGGTAGGCTAAACCAGAACCTTTTATTAGGAATTATGTCAGTGCCGCTTTCTTTTTTATGAAACTTAAGAATAATACCGCCAACAATAAAGTAAGTCAATAGTGCAGTCAGAGCCCTGTTAATCACAAAGGTAAAAGTAACTTACTATAAGTATTCAAAGACTTACAGCGAGATTAATATAAAGCCAATATATCCAGAATCATCGGAATGTCCAGCCGCTTTCAAACAAGCTTCATTTGTATAAAGATTAAAAAGGTATAGATATTCTGTTTCTGAATCACCAGTAGTATTAATTATTGGATCAACCGCTGCTTCATCACAATGTAAATAGACAATGCCTGATCTGTATTATAAAGAAGAATAACAATTAATAGTAATTAATGTGGTATATGCTACCTGGTTAGATCTCCTCCACTATAATGCAACTCATAATTCCCCTCATCATGATTATAATACATGACTTCTGTACCAATTGTTGAAACAAGAGTTTTTTCATTCTGGCAAATCTATAATATTAATCATTCAAGCAATTAATAACAATCAAAATTAGTCCTGCTATACTTACTGCAGTATTGCCATTATTACAATCACCATTACTACCTATACTAAAACCAAAGCAAGGGTTGTAGTCGTAATGATAACGACCAAAAGCAAGGTCAGGATCATGAAACCTTTATACATCAAAGTAACTAAAAGATTTTATAACAAACAGCTTACCTTGGGGTTCCATCAGTTTGAGCTATTTTTGTCAAATTTATTATTCCATGATGCGTTTTGCAGACACAGGCTGGCTCACCTGAAGGAGGAGAGCAGCGAGTAAGAGACTGCCCAAAGCAAATAGGCAAAAGAGAGAAAACCAATAAAACAAAAACAAGCATTTTTACAAGCAAACACGCCCACTGCAATCATATTCATGTGTCATCCCACTAGAGCTAATAAATTAGATTCCCATGCATGCAATAAAAGTTTATTATTAGTTTCTAAACATTAGCAATGGATTGTGTTTATGTTTTTGAACACCACATCCTAGATAGACTGATACTTTTTCCTTGCAATTGGTGACACAATGACCATTATTCCATCCTATGTATTAAAAAATTTATGATCATGTCCATAGGCACATTAGTATTATCATTAGACTACAAACCTTTACAAGGTATGGTAAGCTCAGCCAAAATTTCTTATTAGGAATTACATCAGTCCCTTTTTGCTTTTTAGAGAATTTGCAAATCAGACCGCCAACAATAAAGTATATCAACACAGAAGCAATAGTCCTGCATTGAAAGTTCAAAATGAAGTGATCAAAGTTTACAACACACTGAGCACAGTAATGAACTTACACAAATATTATTCCTAGCCCAATATATCCTACATGTACAGCAGAGGATGACGACGACGATGATCCACCTGGTGATATAAAACATGTCTGATTGGTATAGAGGTGAAAGACATATGCAAATGTCTCAGCTTTATCACCAGTGGTGCTTATTCTTGGCTGATTATCTGTTTCATCACAGTCCAAGTACACGACAGCATGTCTGTATGTATAATACCATTGCAGTATGCATCATACACCTCTATACCTCTCATCATCTCCTTTACTATAGTGCAATTCATAATTTCCTTTACCGTCATGATACATTCTTTCTGAAGTAATCAAACCAACAACAACATGTTGATCCTGACAAATCTAAATTGCATCTAAATGTATAATAATAACTATAATATGCTGCATACTGCAGTAACGCCACTTGCACAGTTATCACTACCAACACCAAAACCGTAGCAAGGATTGTAATCATAGGAGTGGGCATCATAAGACTGCTTAAATCTATAATATTATGCATCATACATACATATTATGCATCAATTGGTCTTACTTAGGCTTTTGATTGTGTAGAGCTATGGTTGTCAGGTCTATGATCCCGTCTTCAGTCTGACAAACACAGCTAGCCTGTCCATCTGGAGGAATACACTCAATGAGGTCACCTGCAAAGCAAAGAGGCAAAATAATAATTGCATAAGCATAAGTAATTGAAAGCATTTTTCCTTCACAAGTGATTAATGCTGTGCAAAAATTTTTTTATGCACAGAATTGGAGCTACCGCCCACGCATAATATCACCACACCCAATTCTTTTCTCCACCCACCTCGTGGTATAGTAGTGTCATGGCGTCCAATTCAGAATCAGTAGATGGTGTTAGCGGGTGTTACGGTGATCCTGATGTACTAAAGGTGGCTGTACTGAAGGAGCTGAATCCTACAATCAAAGTGACATTTAGAAAATGTGAGTAGAGAAATTAAAATAACTAGTTTTATAATCATTACCTTTGAGAGGGTATGGTTTTGGTGATTTGGCTATGAGAAATTATTGAAATTCAAAAATGATTAATTGACGCAATATATGAAAAATAAAGGTTGTTTAAAAGTCATGGTTATAAAGGTTGTTTTTTTGTTATTGTTGAAATTTATTATTATATTAATAACCAGATTATTTTTATTTTTTAGGTACAGATGAAAATAGCAAAAAGGTGAGTACAAGCCTGCTCTGAGCAGTGTCCATAGTACACTTTATTCATATAACATTGTAAATTTTGTAATTTTTGAATTGTTATTTAACAGAGTGTGTCACTACTGCTGTCAAATGGATTTTGTGTAACAGCTGCTAATGAGATATGTCGGTTAGTTATTAATAATTATGTAACCCATCATCTTCTTTGTCTATACAATGGTTAGGTATCTTGTTAAGAAAGAAGGTGGAGCTGTCGTCTCATTGAGAGATTGGGCTCTTATTGATTACTGGCTGGAATGGGAAGCTATTTCCTTGAAAGTAAGCCATTCAATCATGTACTGCCTCATATGTGCACATATTTAGTCTGTGTTTTGATGTGATTAATAATTTTTGTTTCTTGATTTATGGAATATTATTTAATTTTTAATTTGTGTATAGCCAGCTATCTTGTCATCAGTAATTAATAATTCACCATCAGATCAATTGCTATCATGTCTGACACAACTCGAGTCTCATCTCACAAGTAATCAGAAGATTGTCTCATGCAATGAGGTATGTGTTTAGGAGCCAGCCACAACTCTATTATACATTTATTACACAATACATATAGTTCTCATTGGCTGATGTTGTTGTATGGTCAACACTGCTCGTAATACAAAGCCCTGAGTCTAAACTTTCATCCAGTAAGTGAAGGAGAGTGTGTATTGGTGGGTAGTAGTGTACTACATGATTTGTAAGTACTTGTAAATACAATATATACTTGAGCTTTTTTTTAACTTTTTGGCATATTTTGGCACCAATGATTATTGTTGACAATTAATTTTTTGTAAGTATAGTAGTTAATGATTTTGATCCCAGTCCTTGAGCAGTGCATTCTTTATTTAGATATTGCCAGGGATTATCCAAAAATTGCTCAGTGGTATCGCTCGCTGGCACGGGATTCTCGATTCTCGTCTGCAGTCTGGGCAGCATCTAACGATAAAGGCTTTGAAGGTTTCTATGACTTCATAATACCTAGTGGATCTGGTAAATCAAAGAGCACAACAACTGGTGGTAAAGGACAAAGTAGTAAAGCTGAGAAGGAGAGAACACAAGTATGGAATCATTACTACTGTTAGTAAATAGTAATATTATCATGCACTATAGTCTGCTAGTGGTCTGTCACCCAGCAGTAGTACTGGTGATATGATAGGCCAGGCTGATATTGATAAAGCCATGGCCCATTGGAACGAAGGGCCTGATGCTGCACCAAAGCCTCGTCTACATAGCCATCCAATGTGAGTCTTTATTGCTTGCATCTCTCTTTTATCTTTCATTTCCTTGCCACTTTATTTTCATTCTATCTCTTCTCTCCCTTTCCTTCTCTTACTCTTACAATAATTCGTGTACTTATTCTCTCCTATTCTAGTTTGCCTATACCTGGTGAAAGGAATGTTCTAGTTACGAGTGCATTGCCCTATGTGAACAATGTGCCTCATTTAGGTAACATTATTGGATGCGTTTTGAGTGGAGATGTATTTGTGAGGTAAGTCTCTTGTACTTTAATATTATAATTACTGCATAAGTGACTAGATTATAAGTTAAATATAATAGTATTTACTATCAATGATATTTTATATAAAAAGTTGATTTTTGTTCTATTAACTGTTATTTGTTCAATATACATTATAGATATGCTCGTCTTCGTAATTACAACACACTGTATGTGTGTGGTACTGATGAGTATGGCACTGCTACTGAAGTAAAGGCAGTCAAAGAAGGACTCACTCCTCAGCAGATATGTGACAAGTACTACGCCCTCCATTCGGAGATATACGAATGGTTTAATGTGGACTTTGACATATTTGGAAGGACCAGCACACCACAGCAAACACAGTCAGTTAATGCAGTGGGTAGAACATAAACATAATTATTGTATTTATACATGTATTATATTTATCTTTTATTCTTTTTTATTCTTTAGAATTGCCCAGGACATTTTCTGGCATCTTTATGACAGAGACCTCATTAAGAAGGACACTGTGGATCAGCTACTCTGTACTTCTTGTGATAAGTATGAGCTCTTGATGATAATAATTAGGTACACATATAATGATGATAATTTCTAGGTATCTTGCTGATCGTTTTGTCGAAGGGATATGTCCATTCTGTGCATACCCAGTATGTCCTATTATATTATATTATTATTATTATTATTATTATTATTATTATTATTATTATTATTATTATTATTATTATTATTATTAATGCATATTTATTGCCCCATAGGATGCTCGTGGGGATCAGTGTGATAAATGTGGAAAGCTGATCAATGCCGTTGAATTGAAAGTGAGTCCCTTATCCTCTTTCTATGATTGTGTATTGTGTGTGTGTGTATATAGTCTCCACGTTGCAGCATATGCTCTAGTACACCTGTAGTGAAGCAATCCAACCATTTGTTTCTGGATCTTGAAAAGGCACATACATGTACATGTATACCAGTTCATAAAATAATATTTATATATTTTAGTTGCAATCTCCAGTATTTGATTGGGCACAAAAGTCAATAAGTGAAGGTTAGTCCTTTCTTTATTAGTAAAGCAGTTTGTTTGATACTCCTCTATCACTGTATTTTTACTACTACTGCCTTGTGTATGATGTTTTGTAGGAGTTTGGTCACAGAATGCCCAGTTCATTACAAAGTCCTGGTTAAGAGATGGTTTGAAGCCGCGTTGTATAACTCGTGATTTGAAGTGGGGCACTCCTGTACCACTGGAGGGATACACTGATAAAGTATTCTATGTTTGGTTTGATGCCCCCATTGGGTAAGAACTAGACATCACGTATTGTGAACCGCTGCTTTATATTGCATTATTATTTTCCAGGTATATATCCATCACTGCCTGCTATACTGATCAATGGGAGAAATGGTGGAAGAACCCAGAACAAGTAATGACATAGTGTTTTGAAACACTCTATAGCATGTTACCTTCCTTGTCATTTTTTGCAGGTGCAACTCTATCAGTTTATGGCAAAGGATAATGTTCCTTTCCACACTGTTGTCTTTCCTAGTACACTCATTGGGACTGGTGTCGATTACTCTCTACTGAACCACATTAGCTCAACAGGTTTGTCTGTATATGTGACTCTTGATTCATGATGTACATTATAAGCAGTTAGCCCATTGGGTTTAGCAAGGTTCTGCCTAGTATAAAATTAGAGATGGCCAGAGACTAATATTGTTCTTATTAAATTTACAGTATGTACACCATACTAGTAGACTACAATATCATGCTTTATGTATGGTTATTAATATAAATTGGATTGTTGGTCTAAGTGATGACCTGGTTGGTTCATTTGTTGAGGTCCCGACTGCCATAGGCAGAGCAATGGTTTAGCATAGCAGTATTATTGCAAGTCGCATTGTTTTTATTTATTTATTATATTTTTAGAGTATTTGAATTATGAAGATGGGAAGTTTTCCAAGAGTCGTGGTGTGGGCGTGTTTGGTAACAATGCTGTAGAGACTGGTATCCCAGCCGATATCTATCGGTTCTATCTACTGTATGTGCGGCCAGAGTCTCAGGACTCTGCTTTTAGCTGGTCCGACTTTGTTATGAAGAACAACAGTGAGCTACTCAATAATCTTGGGAACTTCGTTAACAGGTTAGCATTAATTTTATGCACTATAATTACTATAGTACTACCAAGGATTAATTTATTTAAATTCTGATTATTTTGTGTGTTCTTGATATTTTCTTTTTATATTTCAAATAGGACACTCTCGTTCATCAAGAGCAGTTTTGATTCTTGCATACCAGTCATGACACTCAGCCATGATGACAGTGTGATAGTAGTTAAAGTAACCCAAGAGCTCCAGGGATACATTGAGTGCTTGGAGAGACACAAGCAACGCGATGGACTCAAGCATATCCTGGCTATATCCCGACTGGGGAATGGACATATACAGGCTCACAAGCCGTGGGAACTTGTCAAAGGAGATAAGAATCAGAAGTAATTTGTAATTTATTGGGATTTAATTTATTTTTAATATATAGAAGCCAGTCCCACTCATTATAATTGAATTTTACTCATAAAAATCATAATTTTATTTTATTATTTCATTATTTTCTGATAATGTTTTATAATTGAATTTTGCTTATACAAAAATCATAATTTTTATTGTTTCATTATTATTTTATGATAATGTTGTAGGTTGTTGGCTGGGAGTCTTCTTGGATTGTGTGCTAATATTTGTTGCCTCATTTCTGTTCTGCTACAGCCATACATGCCCTCCATAAGTAAAGAGATACAGAATCAGTTGCAGGTATTGAGTTAATGTAATACAGGGTATTTTAATCAAAATGGCTCGAAAATAATTTTTCATTTTTATATTTTTTTCTGATGCATATACATGTACCTATGTCACATAGAAAGTTTGAGTTAATTCCGTTAAGAATTAGATTTTATATGAATTTTTAAAGTTGCTCCAAAGTTGGGCCAAAGTTCCTGTACTATAGTACAGCGTCTCGGGCCATATTTCACCAGAAATGAAAAGTAGAGAATTCTCCATTTTAATAATTTTATCTGATGCATATATACATACTTATGTTGCGTAGAAAGTTTGAGTTGATTCCAATCAAAATTGAATTTTTTATGAATTTTTAAAGTTGCTCCAAAATCAAGCCAAAGTCCCTGTACCATAGTCCATGATCTCTGCCACTCTCTGGCCAAATTTCACCAAAAAATGAAAAGGAGAGAATTCTCTATTTTTATAATTTTTCCTGATGCATATAATACGTATTTATGTTGCGTATTAAAGTTTCAATAAAAATTGGATTTTTGTGATTTTTTTGAAGTTGCTTATATGACCAAATTTTCCAATGATAGTAATAATAAATTAAATTTCTATTCACAGGCTCCTAGTGAGTGCAATATAATATGGGATTACTTTGTTCCGTATCTACCAACAGGACATAAAATTGGACAGGTAATTTTTGTTGCCATATTTAATGAATTATGCTTTCAAAAGCCACTGCCTCTGTTTAAGAAGATCGACGATGCAACTGCTAATGAGCTCAAGAAACAATTTAGTGGACAGAAACAGGTTTTTAATGCATTTATTGTAAAAAATGAATAGCCTAAAATTAATGATATACTCTAAATAATTATAATTGCAAAAATTTTTATAATAATAATAATAATCAATTAATAATAATAATAATAATAATAATAATAATAATAATAAATGTCTAACAACAAAAGAAACTTGACATTTTGTTTGAGTTTTTTATGTGTACTAATTAAGCACTTATATTATGATCCTTGTGAGATTAAATGGTTTATGTTTGTGTGTGTATAGGATACTGGTGCTAGTTCTGCTATGGGCGAGTCATCAAAAAGCAAACTGGAAGCGGAGTTGGCTAAACAAGTACCTAATCATACAAATTAATAAAAATTGTCGGTTTTACGTCTTGTGTAGGCTGAAGTGGTTCGGTCGTTGAAGGCAAGTGGCTCTGCTACTAAAGAGACGCTTGATGCTGAAATTGCAAAACTTCTTGAGTTGAAGAAACAGCTTGGGATATCAGGGGCCAGTGTTGGATCAAAGAAAAAGGGAAAGAAAACAAAATGAGACAATTCCTAGTCTGCTCCTTTGACTGATTTATTCACGTTTCTTTCTATAGGTTTTAATTTTGTATAAATAATTTTATGTTCTGAGAAAAAACTTGTGTTTAACACAACCGCTTTTGTGATTCACTGCAAAAAAATTATGCCACAAAAATTCATAGGATTATTATTAATAATAAATAATTATTATTATAGATACAAAGGAATTGTCTCTCCTTAACAAACATGTACATTTGATAATGGTACTAAGAATTATAAATGACATTAATGTGATGCGTTATATTCTGAAAAGAAGTCTTTGCAAGTTTCGTAAGTCCCTATCATGATGGCACAGGCGGGGGCAACCTTAGCTACACGAGGTATAAGTCCAGCAAACAGCCCTGGAGCACCATACTCCTGTAGAATGGTTCTCATCACTCTACTCATGGATCCAACCCCTAGCTTGTTCCCTACTTCTGGCTCACCCAATTCGGCTTGCATGTGTGTCTTTACAACGTCTAAAGGCGTTGTTACTATAGCTGCAAATGTTCCTGCTATGCTGCCGGCTATAAATGGTACAAGGGGTTGATAGAACAAGGACCTGTTGGTAAAGTTTCGTTTCAAGTCTTCGTATCCGAGCCAGTATATGACCGAGAACGGGACGTCTCTTAGAAGCATGGGGCTCAGCCCACGCCACATGCTCAGGACCCCATTCTGAGCGGTAACAGTTCTGACAACTGATAGTACTTCGCTGATGTTCACACCAGTTCTAGACTGAAGTTTAGTTCGGACTAACTCAATAGGACAAACAGCAGTCACGGCAACAGTTCTAGATACCACACCCGATACCAAAGGTGCTGCAAAGTTACGCTCATTAGGATCAAAGCCAAGCCTTACCTTCAACTGGTCGTATAACGTGTAGTATATGACAGTCAGTGGTACGGCCATTAGCAGAGTAGGGGAGAGGCCCTTCCACCATGAGCCCACACCTTCAGTCCGTGCTAATTTGACAAATGCATCCAAAGTGCCAGTGTATCTGTGGACTGGGCTATAAGGAGGGAGATGAGGGTAAGGGCTTTCATATGTACATATACACACGCCGTCCAGTGCAGCTCGACAATCAAGAATGTAACATGGCTTGAGGGTCGACTGCTGGCGCTGGAGACGGACCTTTACCACGTCGAACGGAGTTGTGAGTAGAGATGTAAGTATGGCACCAGAACAGGATGATATTAGCTGTTGGATAGGTGTTACTGGGAGCAAAGTATCACTATGAACTCTATGATACTTCATCTTGACATTTTAGACATGATTACATCACTATCGTAGCACGTGCTCCATGTCAAATAGGCGTGGTCAGAAAGTTGTAACCACACCCACCAGTGGTGAGATGATTGTCATATGACATTCACGCACACATCCATATCCTTCTAAACGCTTACTCACTCTCTTCATCTCTCATTCTATCTTATTTCGTCTGCTCTTACTGACTTATCTTTCTTCTCTCTATTCCACAATGGAAAGTAAGGATTAATGATAGTTTGAAGAAAATAGGGTTGATATTGTTGTGTGTTGTTATAGAGCATCTGTTCAATCTCAAGTTTGCTGCTAAACAAATGGCAAGGGAAGCTAAGAAATGTGAAAAGGCTGAGAAAGAAGAGAAAGCAAAGTTAAAGAAAGTAAGTGAGTGATTGTTTAAAACCTGCCTGAGGTCGTTAGCCATTTTTGTTAAGAGTAGGCTTGTGTATCGTATCATAGCCATCATTAGTTATTACCATATAAATCCATGAGTATTCTCAGTGTTTGTTAGTTATGCTCGTGTACATGTAGTTTATTGATAATTGTTCCATCATCATTCTCCATTTTCTTGATATTGGGTGGAGACTGGAGGAGTTTCCATTAGCAAATACCCAAGAGAGGATATAACTAGTTTATAAGGTTGAGTAGTGCTTACAATTTCACAAATCAGTCCTTGATCCTTGAAAATATGGGAAATTGATGTTTTGTTATCTCTACATGATATAACTGATATTATCAATATTGAGAGGTTATTTTTATCTTAGGCATTAGCTAAAGGTAATGTTGAGGGTGCTAGGATCCATGCAGAGAATGCCATCAGACAGAAGAACCAGGGGCTTAACTTCCTTAGAATGAGTGCGAGGGTGGATGGTGTTGCGAGTCGTGTTCAGACTGCTGTGACAACGAAAAATGTGAGTCATTTTGAATTTATAACGATTATTGAAAACTCTGTTGTTACACATTACTTGAATGTCTACGTGTACATTTCTGTGTATATGTTTCAGCAAGAGAAAGTGTTTTATTATTTTTAATATAAATAGGTAACTAAAGCATTGGGCGGTGTCGTTAAAAGTATGGAGTCAGCCATGAAATCAATGAATTTGGAGAAAGTGAGTCATTTATAAGAACATGAAAATCATTAATTATCATTGCTCCTATTGTTGTGTTGTTAGATTTCAAAACTCATGGAACAATTTGAACGAGACTTTGAGCATTTGGACGTACAAACACAGACCATGGATGAGGCCATGAGTGGAGTCACTACTTTAACTATCCCTGAGGTACAGGCATTCATTAGCAATGAAACTATTATCATCATCATTATTATTATTATTGCTTTAGGACCAAGTTCAAGGCTTAATGGAACAAGCTCGTGATGAAGCTGGGTAAGTAGTGACAAGAGTACTCTTGGTAGTGGCAAGAGTACATAATATGTACTCCTGGTAGTGGTGATGGGGTGTATGTGCAAGAAATACTGTATAGTGGGAAATTTTGGAGTGAGTTAAATTTGGCAAATTTGGCGTTTTGATAGCCATTCATGAAAATAAGTATCTGCCATTTTAAGCCATTATTTTAGCCATTCGCCAAATTTAACTCCCTCCAAGATTTCCTGCTATATGGTACTATCAAGACTGATGTGAACTGAGATAATTATTATCTTTTAAAAAAAAATTTAGATTGGAGCTTGATTTGGAGCTACCTACTGCTGGGACAGCTACTCATACCAGTGCAGAACAGGTATGGAATAATGAGAATTGAAAATTATGCTAAATTGTTTTGTTTTAGGATGAGTTAACTGCTCGGCTGGCCCAACTAAGAAATTCATAATACGTATACAATGCTAACTCATAATGTTGCTTTTATCCTCTACAGTAAACATATTTTAATTTAAATTGTATATTTAATTCTTTTGTCTCTCATTGTGTCTGTGTCCATTTGAATATTATGGAATGTACCGTAGTCAAACTAGAGAAAGTTATTGATGAATAATCCAATTTTTGCAATTATATTTATTAGGGCAAAATAACTTCAGTACACTAGTAACACAAAATAATAACGTATATAGTAGAAAATAATAATATTAAAATATTTTATAATTATTAAATTATTATGGCATTCACTTATAACATCATCAATAGTAGTAATAGTATGACAACAATAGCTCAGTTCTGTAGTTTAGTATAATAATATCAGAATGTGATCGCAACTGGAATAAATGACTAATCTTCCTCCGATTCTTCAGAATCACTATTGCGTTTGGTTCCGCCTCTCGAGCCATGTGAGGGTATTGGTTCTGACGAAGGTTTCGAACTACTGGACGGGGTTCTTGCAGATTTGCTTGCAGCGGCCGGGTTCTGAGTCACCCCTGCTTGATAGTTTGGTGGCTGTTTACTTCTGTCTTTCTGTGTTAATAAATAATGACAATAATAACTGTTCTGCCACTAAGAATACATCCCTACATTACAGGGTACAACTACTACTTACAATAATGTTATCAATGTATTGAATCCACATCAGCATCTCATCCCTAGTGCTTGCTTGTATGTGATAATCCTTGCCCTCTACAGTGCAGACTGTAAGGACGTTTTGGTGTCTTTGTAAGGTATCTATTAGACAGAGAGAGAGAGCACTCAATGCTAGTTAGCTATGAATATCATTTCACATGCTTAATTTATAGCTCCACTATTATAAAATCCCCACTATTATTATTATACATAATGCTAGACATGTTACCCATTATTGTGATACATGATAATACTAGTATAATTATCATTACCTTCATTCACTGATGCACTAAATAGAGGTACTACACCAACAGGCTTTGCATCCTATTCAAAGAAACATTATTCATGCCCCTGATAGATATTATACTGACACTTCTATTCTTATAATAGTAAAGTCCTTCCGTTGTTAGCACGAACCATCTATCCAGCCAGTTCCTTCGAACGTGGCCTTTCTTTCTAAGGAATCCAACTTTCTGAACTTCTCCTCTCTGCTCTGTTACCAAATCCTTCGACAGGGACTTAGTCCTTGCTGCCATTTCCCTAATAATTAACACCAAAACTGTTTTGATTTGATAAGCAATTTTACAGCCAGGGACAAGGCCAGCAAAAGCGGGTGGATTAATGATAATAATCCGGTTAAGCCACTTGAAGTCATGTCGCTGCACTAACAACCCGAAACTCACCTCTCTCAGCTTCTATAATCCGAGAGTCGAGCGAATCCAGGAAGAGTCTGTAAGAGCTTTTGTTCTCCTTTGTTTGTCTCACCCTCCGGCCCTGCTTGAGTGTGTGCTGATCTTTTACTTGTTATGCAGTGTGTGTAGGCATAAGGAGTGGGTGTGGTACATTTTAATGTCTGACCGCGCCCACAAGAGGCTGAGCCCTAGTTTGGGTGTGTTCAGTTCACTCCAATAATGGAGAACTTGGACTCTCTTTTTCGTGGCTGTCAGATAACTTTAGAGCTAGACTCGTCCATTCCCTTTAAGAAAAAGTCAGCACTGAAGCAGTCTGTGATTCAGTATGGAGGAATAGTCTCCTTTATAGTTACTAAAAAGGTAATAATAGGAGATTGATCACACAAATTATGTATATTTTTAATGCCAACTCATTTCCTATTATTTTACAGACTACACATTTAGTTGTAAATAATGTAGAAAAGGCCCAGGATTCTTATAAAAGTCGTATGGCTCAGAAATGGGGCATACCTGTTGTCTCCATCAAATTTATTGAGGACTGCATTGAAAATGGGAAACTGTTGGAGCCTGACCAATTTGTTGTTGCTGGTAAGACACCGTCGGAAGAGCTGTCGTCTGGAAAAATTGTTGGTAAGAATTATGCATGTAATTTTGCAGGCAAAACAATGAATTGAAGTAAATATTTTGTGCCATTAACCACGAATTTAAAATGCAATGAATAGTGGAGAGATAATATTTATAAATTATTATTTTCTTAGCATCAATGGAAGATAAAAGTAATTCGGATCGCAAAAAACGAAGACCAAAATCAAACGTTAACTTGAATCAAATAAAGTAACTACAAACATGTAATATTAATGGATTAGAATGTACTATGTATGTTCTTTAATAAATGCAAAATTATATAGATAATATAGAATAATTGTTATCCATGTTTCTATTATAAATTGCATGCACTTCATTTTGTGATAAATTCATGGCTCGTGTCACTCATCCAATTTTAGTATTGAGTGTTTTGATATTGGCCTATAATTAAAAACACCTCTAGTTTATAACGACAGACACTTGCATGTCGAGTTTATCTGTTTATTTAATGCATTTTTGTAACTCGACGCATACTATCAAATGAAAAATAACTGCTCCTTAGAAGCAATAGAATATGCATGCAAAAAGGTAATGTGTGTATAGACAGACTATAGTTATGATGATGGACACTTAGTATGATGATCATAGATACATGTACATAGTACTAGATACATGTACATATATATGTATGATAATGTGTGTTCTAGGGTATGGCCATGGCCTCATGCTGATGGCATGAAGACTCCTTTGTTCCCTGAAGATGGTTATGAAATTGTCAGACATGCTTTCTTTAAAGTACCTAGCATTAATCATTGCACTGTCAGTACTTTTCCTCCATTTTTAGAAATATGAAAAGATGTCAAAATTAACGAGTTTCGTTGCAATAGAGATTCACGTAGTTCCCACATCAGTGACTGAAGATAAACCATTGTACAGGGTATTTGTACATAAAGGACACTTGGAACAAAGACTCAAGGTAGCATATTCCCATTAGCATAAAAGTGTATATGTACAGTATATGTAGGTTAAAAAGTATCCACATACATGTACATGTACAGTATATGATATAGGTTAAATAATTATTGACTTATTATTATTATTATTATTATCATTTTTATTTCTATTACTTATAGACTGGAGAACTGGGTACTTGTGAGTGTCGTTATGTTGAGACCTCACTCGATGCCGAAGCTGTGTATGCTTATTTGTGCAAGCAGTACACCTCATCTCCTTATTCAATGGAGAGAGTTCAGTATCTCTCATTTATGATTGGATCTCCTGGTCTTAGGAAGGTATGAGCAATACAGACTTGGGTCAAATACAAGTAGTAGATGTAATTAGTCGTATTTAAATACTTTCATGTTGTATTTGACCCAAGTCGGGCCGACTCAGCAATAATGCACTCACTTCCTGAGGTGATTCATGCACACGAATAGATGTAGATTTATGATCAAATAAACAAATTCAGTGTCAAATGTTTTGGCTAAAAACTTGTTAAGTACATGCAATTGTCTAATTGACTTGTACTGTTTAAATCTTTGCACTTTACTATAATAAACTGTATGTCTGGGGAAATTTTACAACTGTCTCCTTCATGAGATACTTTCATTATGATCATTAGTTGATGTCAGAGACATGGCCTAGAGGGGTAGCTGGTAGTAGGGAGGACCTTGACCCGTTAGTATCAAAGCTAGTTGAATACGTTTGGAGTGAAGCTATTGGAGAGATTGAAGGATTTCTAACAGTACCACTTCAAAACATCAAACTGGAGCAGGTATGTTATTACTGTATCAAGAGTACTGTATTGATATGTGAATGAATATGTACGTGTACTTATGTAGGTTGAAAAGGCTGAAGCTGCTTTGATGTCCATTAGGAAGTTACTGGATGAAGGAAGAACTGGAGATGATGAGGGTACTGCTTTGCTCTCTCTCTCTTCTCATGTGCATGATGTTGTGTGTCTTTGTAGATATTAAGAAGTATACCAAGGATTATAATTCAGCACTTCCCAACAGCAAATCAGCTCCTATTGATAGCAAGAAAGTGATTGCTAATAGACAGGAGTTCTGTCAAGTGAGTATACAGCATAATTATTACTGCAATGTAGTGTACATGCATATGTTCAATATTTAGTTCATTTTATAAGTGCTACATCTTTTGCTCTGGCCTATCAATTAGCAACTGTACTTTTTACTCTACAATATGTGAATGCTTTATTATAGTTTCGTTGTTATTGTTATTTTAAAGGTGATACGTGATCTTGTGAGTGTTAGTGAGAGCACTAATTGGTCTCATAAAAGTGGCCCGGTAGCTAAGTATCATGCCTTGAGGTGTCAGATGTGTCCCATTGATCCAGTCTCCAAGGAATACTCTGATGTAAAGGAGCACATCATGTCCAGTCTAACAAAGTATAACCATAGATATATACGTGTATGTATACATATTGTGTGTGTATGTATAGATATTGTATGTGTGTGTATACATATTGTGTGTGTGTGTTTGTTCACAGAGTAGGGACTTAGTTAATGTATCTCCTTCATGTGTACATTATTAATCTCTCACTCTAATTTTAGCATTGTTATGACTAGAACAAAAACTGACAGTGCACGCACTTCCATTTTCATAATTGATAAAATCAAACCATAATATTCACTTCTTACTATTTTCAATATAATCTAGTGACTCTAATGATCCAGAAATACTCAGTATATATTCAGTCCAGAGGCCAGTGGAGGAGAGCCAGTTCAGCCACTCACTGGGCAACAGGAAGCTTCTCTTTCATTCTTCTCAGCTACAAAACTTTGTTGGTATCCTTTCCCGTGGTCTTCTCCTCCCTAAGATAGTCGTTGATGATTTTGGTGGCTCGCGTAGTGATCCAGGTATGCTTGGAAGTGGTATATACTTTGCAGACTCGGCGAGTCTCTCTGTCAAGTTCTCTGGGCCTGGAAAGAAAAGACACGGGACTAGACTGATGCTTGTCAATGAAGTGGCATTGGGTAATGTAAAGGTAAGGGGAAGCACTTTAGCACATGATCATATTCACACACACGCACACACACACACACACACACACACACACACACCATAATGCACAATATATATGCGCTGGGTTTCCCACAAGGCATATGTTTCTACAATAGCATATGTAGCAACTTTAAAAATTCATAAAAAAATCCAAATTTGATCGGAATCAATTTAAACTTTCTACACAACATAAGAACATGTGTGCCTTTCAAAAAAATTATTAAAATGAAGAATTCTTTTCTAGTCATTTTTGGTGAAATTTGGCCAAGAACCCCGTACTATAATAGTACAGGGACTTTGGCCCAATTTTGGAGCAACTTTAAAAATTCATAAAAAATCCAAATTTGATTGGAATCAGCTCAAACTTTCTACACAACATAAGAACATGTATATGTATCAGAAAAAAATTATAAAAATGAAGAAATTTCTCCTAGCCATTTTTGATGAAATTTGAACTAGACCAGTTAAAGGCTATAGGCCCAATTTTGAGTTACTTCTTTTTGTACAATTTTTATAGGAATTCACTTCATACCAGAAGGAGTTATTGGCAGCTCCTAATGGTTTCCACAGTGTCAAAGGCGTTAAAGGCACTACTGAAGAGCCATCTGACTTTAAAGTAATAATAGTATTGAAATTTTGAATATTTAATTTTATTCAATATAATCATTAATAGGAGAATGAGTATGTAGTGTACAAGACGGAGCAGCAGCGTATGAGATATCTAATTGAGTTCCGACTGCCTCAAGATGAAGAGATTGATCAAGATGAGACTGAGAGCGAAAAATATGAGAATGAAGAAATTGAAGAAGATGAAGAAAGCAACATAGTGACAGATGGTAGACAAAACTAGCATTAATATACAATACATTATTACTTTTACTATACTACGATACTACTACTTTATTTCTTACTATTCCTTGCATGTAGGAGTATCTTTATCTGATGTGAAGAATGTCACTGATCCTTTGAGTAAGGTTGAAGCAGGCCTGAAGGTTGATGGGGGAGTAGTGCCACTTAAAGCCGTTCATGTCAAGGCACAACTGATAGACCTTGCTGCTAAGGTTAATAGCCGAGTCTCTTGAATAAATTTATGAGCATGTAACAGGTCATTGTGTTGCAGTCATACAAGAATGAGAGCCTTGTACCAATTGAAGCAAAGTATGTATTTCCATTGGATGACATGGCAGCAGGTAATGTGGTCACCCAATGAGACTCATGACTCACTGCTTGTGTACGTATGTACTTGTAGTTTGTGGGTTTGAGGCATTCATTAATGGCAAGCATATCATTGGAGAGGTGAAAGAGAAGGAGCAGGCTCACAGAGAATACAAGCAAGCTATCAGTGAAGGCCATGGAGCCTATCTGATGGATGAAGAAACACCGGTTAGTAGTATAAACTCACTCTCTTCTGAATAGTAATATGAACTCAATACTTGTACCTTCTGGTTAGTGATATAAACGCACTACCTTCTGGATAGGGCAGTGGTACAGAGTACAGATTCACTACCTTTTGTTATCTATACTAATAAGGACATCCTTGTCCTTTATGTCTTTGTGTAAGGGAAGGGTAAAGAAAATGAGATAAGGAGAATTAGGACATACATGTACATGTAGCTTTGTACATGTACATATATAGTAGAGGGAAGAAAGGAGAGAGGGGTAAACTTTGTCATCATTATCCTGTTGTTGTTAGACTCCCCCACAGTCTGCTATGTATACTTGTTTTACGTTATATTTTGTTGCATTAGGATGTCTTCACTGTTAGTGTTGGGAACCTGCCACCTGGCGCTAGTGTACTTATCAAGATTACTTATGTGGCTGAGCTACAGGCCGAGGGAGAGAATGTAGTCTTTTCACTCCCTGGCTCTGTCGCCCCATGGAAACAGGAAGCAGCTTTGGATGAGACAACACAGGTTATTATAATGGCTCACATGACATTTGTCTACATAAAACATGTTTACTGGAAAATACAGTGTATGATGCTTGTTCCATGTACTGTACAAAGCATATTTTAGTATTGATTGTATTGAATTACATGCAGTAATTGGTATACACTAATTATTGTTATGGTAATGAGATCCTTTTATGTTCAAGTTACTGATTTGTTTTTGTTATGTATAATGTATTAGTCACTTGAGCTATTTCTGTTTGTTTTATCAGTTACAATGTGCATTTTGTGGGCCTCAGAGGTGGGCTGGGGCACAGTCCATTACAATATTGCATGTTTTTTTTATTTGTAGAAGAATTATCAGATGCATTTATGAAATTAGAATTTAAATTATAGACGTCCTTGTACTACCATGTAGAAAGTAATTACTATTAAAGGGATTTAAAATGTGCAACAAATCATTATCTGCTATTCTCCATGGCATTTTTGGTTCTTCAATTTTATCATTGCCTTACGCCAGTAGTTGCATTTATAGTCACAATGTACATGTACATGTACCCACCCCTACTTCTACTAATAGAGTCTCATTCCCTTTATAGGTGGATGTAGAAAAAGTCAAAGTTCGTTCGGATGCTGATTCACTCTCGGTACAGATCTCAATTGATATGCCATTCACCATCAGGACTATTGAGTCTCCAGCCCACAAGATAAAGTAATGACTTAGTATTGAGTGATAATGCTTTATTAATGTTCTTAGGATGAAGAAGACAGACACTAAAGCAACTGTTGAGTTGTGTCCAGGAGAGAAGCTTGGAACAGGGTTCCAGCTGTTGATTGGTTTGGCTGAGATTCATGTACCACGAATGTGGGTTGAAGAGAATGACAAAGGACACCATGTAAGTTTATTCAAAAAAAAAAATTTATAATAATAATAACAAAAGTATAATAATGATTTTAACAGTACATTTATTATTAAAGAGTATTATGTGGTATTATATTGTTAATGTGAGCGTTCAGTGATGCTAGTACAGTGTCTATGTGATTTGCCAGTGCTGTCTTGTTAGCATTAGCAAATAACAGTCCAACCACTTCATTGGTTGACTCCTTTACTATCACAGCCCCTGCATCACTTGGGACTACGGGTATTGATAGCTGTATCTGATTCTTCCACATCATCCCGTCAATCTCACCCTCCCAATTGATACACTTCACATAAGCAAACTGGACCTTTCCTGTACTGGCTCCCTTGAATTTGACTAGATCACCGACTTGTGCTTTGCCAGTACCAGTAATGATCCCCTTTCCATCAATACTGGTAGTTAGTGCGTGTACTGGGTTTAGCATCCTTGCAAAAGCACAGTCCACTTCTTCCGAGACTACCAGTGTTGTTGTAATGGCTAGATTTTTAATGTCTCTTTCGCCACCTCCCTCTCGTAATCCCGGACTCACTATTCTTGTTCCTATGCTGCCTGCAATTTGACCGGCTGTCAGTATCCCGATGTTTGAGTTTTGTGTCAATATGAAACCGATCGTCCCCAAGACATACGGGTTATTGCACTGACCAATGCTTTCTCCTGCTTTTACCTTGACTGGTGGATACAGAGTCTGTAGATATGAAAAAAGACATTGAGGATTAGTAATATTCACCAAAAGATTACATCATAGTAAATAGCAACTTAAAACTTAGAATATTTCTAAGCCGAAATTTTTAATTTAATATACCTCATATCTCAAATATGATTAGTACTTGTTCATGTACATGCATTCCTTACTGTAATGAATCTATATTCAGCTTTTTCCTTTGCTTTATTCTCAATGATCCCCCAACGTCTCTTGTTACGACACTCCTCTAGCCATTCCTCTTCGGCCCCTAGGAGGTGCCCGTTACCAATAACCTTATCAACTGGGCACCCGTCAATCATCTTTGGTATGTAGCTCTTTCTTTTCACCTCACCCTCTGGTATTTTATGGTCAACCCAGAGTTTAATGCACCGTAAGTGTGTCTGCTTCTTTTGTAGTTCCCGATATCCGAGATCAGCAGCAGTGACGGACTTGTTCATCATGAAGACTGTGAAGTTGGTGACTAGTTTCTTATACAAGATCATTTCGGCTTTCAGCTTTAAGTCTTCGTTCTCCATTGATATTTGTTCGGCTTGGTGTCTGAAGTTTTGAAGCGACAATGTCTGACGGTTCATTGTGTAGTGGATATTAATCCTCTGAGTATCATCATCATCATCATCTTCAGAGTCTCCTATTGAAACTCTTTCGATCCTCATGTGTCTTACTCTGTCAACCGAATGATACTTTCTGAAAGGGGCTCTCTTCATATATTTGTTTGCTGTAGGAGGAGGTGAGGCTACAAAGTCAGTCTCTTCTAATTCTTGTGGCTCAGTTTGCGTCCCTTTGTCCTCCTTCAGTATTCCATGAGGCTCTTTACTGATGATTTCATGAGGCTCTTTACTGATGATTTCATGAGGTTCTCTACTGATGGCGGTTTTATCATTTGTTCCTGTGTGGTGGTATGTCACAGCGTCAGTCTTGTCCCTAGCCTCCGGTTGCTGCTGGGGTTGTCTTTCTTTCTTTGATGATTTTCTAGCTGTAAACCACTTCTTCATTTTTTTAACTTATTAGTTTGTGTGACAGTTGATATTCTCTCTTATTTATATGCTATCAGTCACTACCTTATACTGTCAGTTTGACTGTTAGGAACTGACTTATCTCTTGGAATTGTCATTATTATAATTAAATTATTACTTTTTTTCCTCCAGGCTTGTATGTTGACCTTTTATCCGGAATTTGAGGCCGAGTCTATAGTTGAGAATGAGATCATATTTCTTCTTGATGTCTCTAATTCCATGAAAGTACGTGTGTGTGTGTGTGTATAAATGTACATTATTAGCCTGTGGTAGGGTGATGCATTAGATAATGCTAAGAAAGTCCTACTTTTACTACTCCACCATCTTCCTCCTAAGACATACTTCAATGTATTTACATTTGGAGCAAGTAAGTACATACTAAGTGATGCACGTACTTACATTATTTTTTAATTCTTTTCTCTATTATTCCATAGTGTTTGAGAGTATATTTCCAAGCAGTGTTCAAATTAATAACGAGACACTGTCCTTTGCTACAAAGCAGGTTCAGTCCTGTCAGGCAGTGATGGGCAATACTGATATATGGAGGCCACTCCACAGCCTCTACCTTCTCTCAGAGGCTGCTAGTAGCAGTACAGGAGGCCTCACCAACAGCAGCACACTACCTCCTTGTAGTGTGTTTGTTATCAGTGATGGACACATGACCGAAGAGGCTCCTTCCTTATCTGCCATTAAAGATGGAGCCCAGAATTATCGTGTCTTTACTTTTGGAGTTAGGTATTGTATATATTTGAATCTTTCACTCCTCATCTCTTTCTAAATTCATCTTTCTTTTATATCTACGTTTAGCTCAACAGCTAATCGTCATTTCTTGCGTTCAATGGCACGAGTTGGCGGCGGATGTAGTGAATTCTTTGATAGCCAAAAGAAGTCTCGCTGGGAGAGGAAAGTCAAGGAGCAGCTCTCTAAAGCATTCCAGCCAGCACTGACCGGAGTCGACGTACAATGGCAGCAACATGATGAGAATGCCCCACCACCTATTCAAGTAATGCACTACATACTGTTGTGTTGTTATTATTATTGTTATTATTATTATTATTATTATTATTATTATTATTATTATATAGGCACCTAAATCTATAACATCATTATTTAGTGGGTCACGTCAAGTTGTGTATGGGTTTGTACCGCATTGTAAACAGGTAACTTCATTAATATTCACATATGTATAGTGTATAATATGGATCTGTTATAGGCCAGTCTAAAGGCTTTTATTGGTAGGAAGGAGATACAGACAATGGTGTCTACCTCTGATCTAGCTACCACTAGTGGTCAGGTTAGGATTCATTTGTATAACCTATCACTTATATAATGTACCCTTTAGACTCTTCATCAGTTAACTGCCCAGGCTTTAATTAGAGATTGGAGTGAAGGCTCTCTCAATGACGATCGAACAGAACACGAAGTATTTTATTATTTTGTGCATGAAAGTACTTTAGCTTGCTTGGCTCGTTGTAGATAATGAAACGTGATTTAAAGACATTCATAATCAATACTAGCAAGGAATACTCAATTGTTTCTCAGTTTACTAGCTTTGTTGCTATAGAAAAGAGAGAAAAGGTACTAATTCCAGTATAGTATTATTGATTTTATTTATTATTAATATTACTTCTTATAGTTACATGTATAGATATGTGGATGTATTTAATTTAGTCTTGTCATTTTATAGGATGAGAAGTTTGATGCTACTAAAGGGCCTTCAATTGAAGATCTTGTATCCAAAGAGAATGTTGATAAACTGAAGTATATGGGATGGGAGATTGATCAAGGAGCTGATCCTGTCAAAGTTAGTTAGAGATATTTATAATAAGCTAATTTATTTTACATCTACACAAGTAGCTATGCATTTCTCACTACTGGTAATGCATGTGCTTTATTAACATTATATAATATTATTATTATTATTATTATTATTATTATTATTATTATTATTATTATTATTATTATTATTATTATTATTATTATTATTACATTGTATTAGATTGCTGCTGAGTCTATTGATGATGTTATAGCTTCAATGGCTGGCGAAACTGATGTTATAAAATTAGATACAGCTTTCAATAAAGTCTGGGAATCAACTCAAAATACTCTGCCTAACTCACACCCAGCCAGAGTCAAGGTAACACAGTATACATACTGTTAGGTGTACTTTACACATTGTTCTATGATTGCATAGTTACTGAAAATGAGGCTAGAGGTATTAAAAAAGATGGACAAGCTCTCTGATGGACAGGAGCTGCTGGAAGGTCTCATTACTGATCTTCATCTCCGTGGATCTATTGACTCCACTAGACTAATCAATGTTTTGGAAGGGATAAGAGATGGCTTTTCAAGAATGATGTAAATATGAGTTTAATATAATAGTGTCATTGTGTTATTTTATTGCTCAGAGATGCTAAGAGGAAAGCTGCAGAAGCGGAAGCAGCTAGGAGGAGCAGGATGATGATAGTTGCTGAAGAAGCAAAGTCATTGAGACAAAGCACTCTAGAAACTGAAAGAGATGGTGGTATTATTGGTGAAGCTAAAATGGAACTTAAGTCCAGAATAGCTTTCAAGCAAAAAGAGATAGAAAGTTTGGAGTCAAAGCTACATCTAATTACAAGAAGAAGAGGCAAAGCATTGAAAAAAGACATTCCACCTGCTGAAGAAAGGAAAGCAAGTCCTAAAGTTCCTCTCAAAAAGAAAAAAGCAGTTGCAAAAAATAGGGGACCAATTAGGGAACAAGAATCACCAGAAAAAGATGAAGATATTTCAGTTGCTGAAGAAGGGCAAGCAAGCTTTGAACTTGCTCTAAATAAGAGATTTAATAATAGGAGAAGAAGCATACGTATGGAAGAAGAACCAGAAGAAGAAGATATTCCAGTTGCTGTTATTGATACAGGAATGGATACTGTAAAGGTAATGAGAGAGAGAGTCTTATTTTTAACCTATTGTGTGGTCTTAGGCTGGGTTTGCTGGTGATGATGGTCCTAGATCAGTGTTTCCTGCATTAGTTGGAAGACCACGACATCAAGTAATCATTCTTAACCAATGGAATCAGTAAATGTAGAAAATGGAAGATTGCAGATATTAAATTTAGTTTTCAGGCTGATCCTGGGTTATAAAATAAAATAAGGTCCCCACTTTTGGTACATCTGATATATGTACATGTGTTCTGTGTAAAGTTTAAGCTCATTTGATTTATTAGAAGTATTTTAAGTTGCTCAAAAATTTAGTCAAAATGCAGGGTACTTATGGTTTTGCTATTTTTATAATTTTTTCTGATGCTTATACATGTACATGTTTTTATGTTGTGTAGAAACTTTTGTGAATTTTTAATTTGCTCCAAAATTTTGTGAAGAATGACGAGGAAAGAATTCTCCATTTTTACCACATTTTCTGATCCGTATACATGTACAATATTCGTACATGTACTTATGTTTCTAGCTCATGCGCAGTTTACATGCAATACAGTTCATCACAGTTTTGTGTTGTCATGTGTTTTAGGGTGTAATGGTTGGTATGGGACAGAAGGATAGTTATGTTGGAGATGAGGCTAAATCAAAGAGAGGGATCCTGACCCTCAAGAGTCCTTTTGAGAGGCCTAGCAAGCCAATGGCAGCCATGTCATATAGCCAGCCTATAGTCCAAGTTGAAGAGAAGGAAAAAGAATCATCTGCTACTGTTGAAGAGGATGTACTTAATGACCTGTTTGGATATGATGGCCGTAATTATGAGATATCAGATTTCTCAATGGCAGAGAATTATCAAGTTAATGAAGTATTAATGGATGAATTAGAGATGGATGAGTCATTAATGGAGCAGTCACTAATGGTTGAGTCTGCGTAAGTTGTAACAGTTTTTACCATTTTTATTAGTTTCAATAGGGAGCTATATGAAGAGTTGGAACAGCAATCTGAAGAAACGATAGCAGTCAATCAAAAAGAGCTTAGATCTAGAAAGGTTAAAAAAAGTATTCCTGGAACTAGTCCAAGAACTTCATTATTGAAGGGACTAGGAAGCAAAGAACCGCAAGAAGGCCAATTAGGTAAGTTAACTTTGTATCAAAGCTTTGATAACTTAATATTTATATTTTTACCTATCAATGAGTATGCAAATGTAATTATTTATCTTCAAGTGAGTATTAATTAATGCATTATAGGTACTGGACTTGCAGGGTTTGCTAGTAAACCACCAGAAGGCTATTTGAGTTTAGGTAAGTTTTGTATTTGAAAGCACAATGTTTATTTATCATTTTTACCTGTCAATGAGTACCCAAGCATGTTTGCTTATTTGTAAGTGGATTATTGTTTGATTGGTATTGTACTTATAGATATTGAAGGACTTGCAATGCCTGCTAATAAAGAAAGTATGCTAGTCCCTACCTAGTCCTTTTAACACTAATATTTCTCATTTTTCCAGCCTATAGCCCTTTGTCACAAACCTATAATCCTGTTTCACCAGTATATAGTCCTACTTCAGTGACTTCTCCAGCCTATAGTCCCACCTCACCATCATATAGCCCTTCTTTACCATCATATGTCCCTACATGTACTTCACCAGCTTATAATGCACCTACTGTTAATGGTAAATTATCAGCTCCTTCAGTGCCTGGTTTAACTTTTAGTAAGATTATATTTTTTGGTAACAATTTCATTTTGTTTTTAGATCGTTCAAGTGACAAAGTCAGTTCTGATTCGTCGGAGACTAGTAGAAATATTAGTCAACTTAGCAGTGCTTATTTAGGAAGTGGAAAATCTCGTCGATTTGAGTCTGTTTCATTAGAAAAAAGTGCTCCACTGTCTCAGCCTACTGCTGCTCCTCCTTCTCGTTCTCGTATTGTTCGGTTTGAAGCGGGTGCTCTAACATTTGGTTCAAGTTCACAAGCTCCATTAGAGCCTGTTCCTCCTCCTCCTCTTCCTCCTCGTGCCGTGATGACGAAATCAGCACCTTCTGAACCCATTTATCCTTCTTTTGATGGAATACCTGCTTTTTCTGTTAGAAATGCCATCAGTTCTTCTCCTGAAGGATCTCCTCCTGAGCTAACACCTTGGTCTAGTCCTTCATTTAAATCACCTCCTCTCCCAAGATCTGCACCATTGCCAGGAGGACCTCCTGCTAAGCCTTCCCGTTCCAGTGGTAGAGCACTAATGCAATCACCTGGAGGACCTCCTCCTCCTCCTCCTCCTCCTGGGACTGGGGCACCAATGCAATTATCTGAAAAATCTCCTCCTCCTCCCCCTGTTCCTCTTCGTTCCAGAGATAGAGGACCAATGCCAGTACCTCAGTCAACTGTGCTATCATCTGGAAGACCTCCTCCTCCTCCTCCTCATTTTATGCTTTGTGGTGAAGTACCAATGCCATCTGGAGGACCTCCTCCTCCTTTGCCTTATCTTTCCAGAGGTATAGCACAAAGGCGGTTACCTGGAGGACCTCCTCCTCCTCCTCCTCCTCCTCCTCCTGGAGCAGCTGGTGCTCCACTGCCTGGTTCTTCTAAAGTAGCTCCTAAGGGTAAAAGCAAGGTGTCATATTATGCTGGTTTGGCAGATAAGAAAAGTTAATTGATTTATAATGATCAATGTAATGATGTTATTATTATTTTTAACTGCAGCTACTCAAGCAAGTCCATTTAGTAAGGCTGGAGGTAAGAAAGAACCAAGTGGACCAACAGGTCGTGGCGCTCTATTAAGTAGCATTAAAAAGGTATGCCATTATTGTGTATAGTTGTATATACATGCAGTACATTTTGTATTTTTCTTCCTATTATCATATTATTATTATACTATATATAGGGTGTTTCATTACAAAAGGTTACAGTTGAGAAGGTATTATTATTATTATTAGCATACATTGCCTGATCCTTATGTCTTGTATAAAGTTTAATCTATACTTTTGATTAAAATTTTGTAAATAATAATAATAAGCTAATCATGGGGATCAATGATCAACCATTAAAGAAACAATAATATTATTATTTATTATTTTCTTTAGAAAGAGGAAGAGAAATCTGTTTCTGCATCATTAATGCAAGCACTTCAGTCCAGAAAAGGTACAGCACTTTAATCTAGTGTTGCCGTTTATTATTATCATTATTATTATTATCTTTATTATTAATTATGAAAAGCACCTGAAGCTTTTAACTTGAAGGTTAGCCACTGATAATCTCTAAATAAAAGTAATTGTTTTAAAAATAATAACAGCTGGTGGATTATTCCAAATGGAAATCAGTTGAAATGTCTGATGATGACTCATGGGACGATGATGAAGAAGATGATGATGAAGGAGGAGGAGGAGGAGGTGGTCGTAGTCGTCTACTTGTTAATGAATTTTTTGCATTTCAAGATCAAGAAAGAGCAGAGGATAAAGTACAAGGTCAAGAGGAAGAGGAAGAGGAAAGTGATGATAATATGGCGTTTGGTCTTTTTGATTCATTTGATGAAGAGGCTCTTTCCAATGCAAGCTACTACTCTATGTCTGAGAATGCTCAAGAGAGTGATGGGGTATGTATGTACTGTATGTACTAGTGATGGCAGTGTACAAATGTACAGTGATGTAGTGCATTAATTATAATACTAAAATAATTTTAGTAATTATGATTGGTATGAATTTTTTGTAGGAGAAAGTTATTGAAGTACAGAACCAGTTTCCTGTCATTAATTCCAGCCAAATTTATATGATGTACAGTCTACAAAAAGTCAGTCAGACTCACTACTATCTAATGACATTTTAAATATTTGTTTAAATTTTAAATTTTTAAAGCTATTAAATTCCTGCAACATTTACTTTTCATACTTGTGTATTGATTTTTTATTGATTTATAATAGGACGATGGCTCGTGGTTGCTGAGTGATTTGGACACTATTGTAATGCCAGGTACTGGAGACCGTGTACTTAAAGTCTTAAATGAAGCTGGAGCTAAATCACTAGGTAAAGTATTACTTATTGACTTTATAAAATATAATTGGCACTGCTACATATTAAATAATTATTAATGGTTTGTTGTATATTAGGTTCCAGGGTTTACAAGGAGCTACTGTCGTTGATTGCTACCTGCTTTGTCCTCCGTTTGCTGAACCTCAACTTCCCTGATGCTTATAAGATAACGTTCAGCCCTCACTTTGAAATAGATATGTCTAATGGGGACCCTGGAGACATTGCTACCAAAATGAATAAGTCACTGGTGCTGTGTAACAAGCTTCATAAGCAAAACCCATCTGTTGTCACCCGACTTGAGCTTGGGTATTCATTGATTGATGCTGTTGATAAAATATTGAAACTGTGTGCTTAGTGTAAACCCTATATTTACTGAGATTTAAATTTGAAAGATTTTTATTCCTTGAATTTATTATATTTTTAGTCCTTTGATCTAGATCTACATGCATAATTTTTATAATCTTAAAAAATAATTAAATTTTTAAGAGGGTGTGGTGGTATGGTGATTAATTAATTAAGTGATTAAATCACTCCAAGACTCGCTCCAAGATATCTCATTGCATTGTGAAGATGAGTAAAGAAGAAGATTTCGCTTGTGACAAATTCCTACCACAAAGGTGGCGTAAAGATATCTGTAGGACATGTTACCAGCCTCTTAGACTCCACGAGAAGAAAACAGCCAAGGCCACCGGTAGTGAAGACAAGAAGGCAACAACTCCCATATCTACGGCCACGAGCTCCCCTGCTACTCCCTCTGCCCCAACTAAACAACCACTGGCTCGACCATCAGGCACTCCTCAGCGTACTCAACCCTCTAGGGCTCCACCAGCCCCGCCAAAAAGAACCTCTAGCATTAAGAACATAGTAACGAATCCTTCTAAACCTCTGGCCACTAATCCTAATGATAGTAAAGATGATACCTCCGTTGTTCATTCTGCCAGTGATACTGTAGTCTCAAGCCATCATACTGAGGGGTCTGCAATGAAACAAAAAAGTGTACAAGATCCCAAAGACTCGGATCATACAATAAAACCCACTACACCAGTAACGACTGATGACTCAAGTATAGGATCAATTGCTACTAAGGTACCAGTAGTAGCAGTATCAGAGACTAGCGTATCTAAAGAGAAACAAAGACCAAAGCAACCTCCTCCTCCACCTAAGAGAACCTCAAGTATTAAGAAAATTGAAATGCCTCCTTCAGATAGTGTTAGTACTGCTACTGCTGCTACTATCAGTGAAGAACCACATCAATCAGTTGACGCGTTACAAGCTGAACAAATTACCAATCAACAACCCATAACTGGAGGAAGTGTCGTGGAAAAACATCAACTTGAGGTAGTAGAGGAACAACCCCAGCAACCAGAGGAACAACCCCAGCAACCAGAGGAACAACCCCAGCAACCAGAGGAACAACCCCAGCAACCAGAGGAACAACCCCAGCAACTAGAGGAACAACCCCAGCAACCAGAGGAACAACCCCAGCAACCAGAGGAACAACCCCAGCAACCAGAGGAACAACCCCAGCAACCAGAGGAACAACCCCAGCAACCAGAGGAACAACCCCAGCAACTAGAGGAACAACCCCAGCAACCAGAGGAACAACCCCAACAACTAGAGGAACAACCCCAGCAACTAGAGGAACAACCCCAGCAACTAGAGGAACAACCCCAGCAACTAGAGGAACAACCCCAGCAACTAGAGGAACAACCCCAGCAACCAGAGGAACAAACCTCTCAAGTCCCTCCCATTCAAGATTCTGATGAACAGCCTCTCCCGGACAATCCATCCCCTCAAGAAGAACCAAATGAAGTCCTTCAAACTGAGACAGAGGAAGATACACTCACTGAAGACCAACCACCTCCTCAGATTATAGAGGAACACTCAGAGAATGAAGAAGCACATGACGAGAATCCATCAGTACCTTCACAACCTGTACCAGCTGGTGTTCCCCCTCCTCCTCCTCCACCTCCTCCACCCCCTCCTCCTCCTAGTGCTCCGTTAGCACACTCTATTCCCAATGTGAGGGTAATATCAATCCCACCAGTACGACAACCAGGACATCCTCCTCCTCCTCTTGCAGCTCGTCCCTCTCCTCCCCCAGCAGCTGCTGCACAAGACGAGTCAGAGACTAGTGTAAGTTGTTAATTATCAGTCTATATTTAGTAACAAAACAATGACTCATAATGGTATTCATCACAACATCAACATCATGATTACTGTGTCATTGTATACCTCATGTACAGTATATATTAACTCTCTCTCTCTCTCTCTGTGGCATACTATCATTATCACAGAGTTTGCCTATTATTAGTATTATTGTTATCATTATATATAGACTGTTAGTCTATCGAATGCAGACATGTCTGTTCGTCAGATAGCAATGGAGCAGATTCGTTCAGGAGTACAGCTGAGGCCAGTGAGTCCTCCAGTTGAGAGAGCTCCGACTGAAGAAAAAGTTGTTGATGTGGCCAGTGAATTGAGACAAATGATTCAGAAGAAGAACAAAAAAGAAGTTAGAAAATTAATTAAAATTATAATACAGTTTTCTGCTACCTCTCTCTCTCTCTATCTTTCTCCAGTCGCAGTCAATGGCTCCTAAGATTGAAGAGCAAAAAGGAAGAGCTAAAAGTTTAGCTGATCAGCTTTACAGGCTTCAGAGGTCTCCATCTTACTTACACGCACTCGTTAGCCTCCTTGAATCAATAAGAGAGTTTCAACAAACTTGTGGAGTAAGTAGTTATACATTTATATGATACAAATTCTCTCCTATTCATTTCTGACTGTAATGGTCTTTGGTCCAATTTTGGGGCAACTTTAAAAATTCATAAAAAATCCAAATTTGATCGGAATCAACTCAAACTTTCTACACAACATAAGAACATGTATATGCATCAGAAAAAACTATAAAATTGAAGATTTCTTTTCTTGTCATTTTTGATGAAATTTGGCGAATGACCCTGTACTATAATAGTACAGGGACTTCGACCCGATTTTAGAGCGACTTTAAAAATTCATTAAAAAATCCAATTTTGATCAGAATCAACTCAAACTTTCTACACAACATAAGAACATGTATACGCATCAAAAGGAATTATAAAAATAGAAAATTCTCTCCTTGCCATTTTCGACAAAATACATGTACCCTGTACTATTATAGCCCATGATCTTTGGCCCACTTTTAGAGCATCTTCAAAATTTATAAAATTTTTCACTGTACTGTATAATTTTTACTAGTTTAATGTACTTTATAGATACCAGTTGAAATGCTTGTACAAAAGCTAGACTGGCCAGTAAGAGCCATTGATTCTCTTCAAGAGGTTGTTGAGCTGATCAAAAGGTTGGAAAATCACGTAGTTGATGTTGAAAGACTGTGTAACAAAACATTGCAGGTAACAATCATGTTCACACTATTGCTTAGGCTTCGCTTACTAAATATGTCATCAATGTATTATTATGTGGCCTTTATGCGAATGAGTTTATTTTGTTTTAGACACAACAAGTTAATGTTGAGATTGTGAAGAATTGTGTCACCCAAGTAATGATGACAGCTAAGCGAGTTCGTAATGAACACGATCAAGAAACAAGATCATCTCATGCTGTAAGTAAATTATTATTGAATTATTATTATTATCATTATTTTTATTAGTTAAACACTTATCCTGTTAACCCTACTGACATCCATCGATTGCTAAGAAGAGCTGGCGAAGCAGTCGTTCCATTATTAGATAAACTATACGAGAAGGCACTCCAATCTCATGCTTTGATTAACGATCCATCAGTCAGCAAGTTTGACTTAAACTTCAGATTACAGAATGCTCAGAGACTACTGAGGTAAGCTGAGAAAATATGCATGTACAATTGTACATGTATGTTTTTTATTTCAATAATATTTATAGTACATGTAATATACATGTATACATTGTAGATATTGAGAGATGATTGGTAAAGTAAAAAAATACTCAGTGATAGCACCAAGAGTACTTGTATGTATTTCATGATCTTTTTTTCTATTAGAATGTGTTGTCAGTTGTCAGACAGTCTTGCCATTCATCTTGAGATACAGAGACACTCTCGCTATTCTGTAAGCTGCTGTATATAATCGCAACAATGCTAGGGATATCCTCATGAGATTTAATAAAAAATTTTCTGTTTGTTCTTTTTAGGAAGTCATGTTGAAAACGAAGGAGTTGGAGGAGCAGTATCGTAAACAAATGGCAATTCTTGAAAAAAAGTATGTCAAAATGTATTATCAATAGCATCAGCCTATCCTTTAGAGGAGAATGGGACGAAGAGGAGGAAGTTGTCCTTGTCCCTGCTTATGATAAAAGAGTATGTTAGAGATTGTTAGAGATTATGTTACATATATACCTACATTGTTACTGATCTCGTGTTATGTTGTAATTGATCTTGTGTTAATTATGATTTACTTTGTATCACACATTGTTACTGATCTTGTTCCTATAGTCGCCAGCTGCTGTCAGTAAAGAGAAGACACTGGTCACTAATATTGTTGATGCATTGACAAGGAAAGAGTACGAGAGAGTAGAAGAGTTAGTGGCTGATGGTCAGTTCACCAGTGAGCTTTATGGAAGAACTGCTGTACAATTAATCAAAGTTGCTATAGCCAGTGGATCTATTGAGGTATTTTAACTGAAATTTAAAAACATGCTATTCCGTATTTTTATCATAGACAATTGATGCTGTTATTAAAGTACAAAAACAAGTTGCTACTGGTGATGATGATAATGTAGAGTGTCATAACTTTGTTTGGCTAAACGAAGCCATCATGAAGGTACTGTGCACATCATTACTGATACTATTAGTGACTCCATACATTAGGGCAGCAACCAGTGCCTCGAGCATCTTATTAATGTAGTAGGAATACCGGTTAATTGTCAGAGCAGTGATATAGGCAATAGGTAATAATTAAATACCAGATATAGTATTAATTTATTACTGCTATTATTATTATTATTATTATTATTATTATTATTATTATTATTATTATTATTTTATAGTGCTCTTCATGTGGCGGTACGTAAACAGGACTGGGGTCTAGTGGCATGTCTCATCAGGTTAGGAGCAGATCCACTTCAAGTGAACAACACGTTTAGGAATCCTCTGCAGCTAATAGCTCTTAAAGTGAGTATATAGACTGTACAGGATGGACAGGAAGTGAATGATGTCATTATTATGCTGTGGTTGCTGACCCACAATAGCCTCACCAGTTTTAGCAGCATTTAAATCACGACCTGTGAAAGTGGTTGTGAGCTTCGAATTGATATTGTATGATGCAAAGTAAAATTTTTGGAGGAGCATTTGAATGCTCCAAGGTCTGAAATTATGAATGCTAACTTGAATAAATAAACTAAACTGTACAGTATATGGTCTTTGCACTCTTTAGCAAAAATTGAGTATTTTATGATCAGAAATACTCAGACTTCTCTTCATGTTTGTAGTGTACATGTACTTTTACAGGGTTGTTCACATCTTTAAAATTTCTTAATTTACGTGTAAACTAAGTGACAAAACAATTCATTAAAAAAACCTGCTTAGAAAGCAGAACAGTTTAGTGGCTTGGGATTTAGTGTAGAGCTTCACAATTATGATATACTTAATTATTTTTAATTTCTATTTTAGAATTTTCCACAGCAACATTTCCCAAAAGTTGACATTAAAGGTTAGTGCATCATATGCATAGCTGCATACATGTATCATGTAATGATTTAATAATAATTTCGTATTAATATCCTTAGAATTGCCATTTGACATGTCGAATTATATCAACAACCCAAGCCTGAGGTCAGTTATATATGAATAATATTCAGGATTTAATGATTGATATTAATATTTTGTGTAGTGATGCACAAATTGTGACCAGTGATGGCGACATTTTTTATATCCATCGTCTTGTTTTCTGCGGACAAAGTCCCGTCTTTAAGAGTTTATTGGAATCAGAATACTGGGCAACAGATAGCAATAAGGTAGCATAGTAATTGTTTTCAAATTTTCAGAATTTACTCAAAATTGGAATTAAGTCCCTTTGGCCAATTTTTGTCAAAAATGACTAGGAGCAAATTCTCCATTTTTATAATTTTTCCAAGTACATTTACATGTCCTAATGTTGTGTAGAAAGTTTGAGCTTATTCCGATCAAAATTAAATTTTTTTGTAAAATTTTAAAGTTGCTTCAAAATTGGGCCAAAATACGTACAGGGTCGTGGGACAAATTTTGCCAAAAATGACTAGAAAAGAATTCTTCATTTTTATAATTTTATCTGATGCACATACAAGTTTTTATGTTGTGTAGCAAGTTTGAGCTGATTCCGATCAAATTTTAATTTTTTATGAATTTTTAAAGTTATGAAAAAGTCATGTACATATACACTATTGTAGTGCTTGTCAGCTCATGAAGCTCATGTTGTTTAGCTCACTTAGCATGCTTTGAGGGAAACCCTGAATTGATTCTATCACTATCATGTGTCACACTTTCTGTTGTGATAGGTTACTCTACCAACTGTCAGTAGTAGAACATTGAAACTCTTACTACAATATCTCTACACTGGACAAAGCACTTTTAATCAAGATGATCTAAACACTTGGATTGATGTATCATATAATTCTTCATTATAGTATTTATTTGTTGGTTTTTATAGTTGTTGGCTGCTGCTGATCAGTATTTGTTATTGCCATTAAAGACTCAGTGTGAATCTGTCCTGTCTGGAAAGATAGATCATGAGGTTAGTACACACTCATAATTATGTATTATATATGTACAGTGGACACTTATAAATTACACACTTATAATTATGTATATGTATATTGTACACATGCTTTACTCTTTCTAGGTTGTTGTGCCAATGCTTCATGCTGCTGCTAGATTCAATGCTCAGAAATTATTAATAAATTGTTGCAATCATCTCTTTTCTAACTACAGCAGCGTTGAAGACAGTGGTAAGAATAATGGTGATGATTATGCTTTGTGGTTGACTGTCATTTTTAGGTCACGAAGCCATTTTGTATGTTTTGGAAAATATACTAGAGAAGTAGACAGAGATGGACTTGAGATTTTAGTATAAAAATTCAATTTATTTCAGTTTTAATTTTATATTAATAACAATTATCCTGGTGAGAGTACTCATTGTCACAGCTATTATAACATATCAATGCATCACACGCAGTCCATCTCTTGTGAAATGAACATTGTCACAACATAGTAATATTTATCAATATGTCACACATAATTAATCTCACATGAAATGAAAACATCACAACATAGCAATATTATCACACAGACTATTAAGAAAAATAGAAAAAGTTAAAATTGACAACAGTAAGTTATTGTTGACCTTGTACACATATTTGTAACAAAGGATTAGTTTATATTTTCAGTGCGTTGACTGTTAGCATTACTTCCATACACGTTAGAACCATAAGTAGATGCAACTAGTAATAATTGCTCATCTTCTCCTTCATCATCACTAGAAAGAGATGCAGAATGGTTGTCATCATTATCGTGTACTTCAACGTGTCTTTCGTCATAATCCTCTGGGTGAATCATTCGATCAGGTAGTGATCTCGATGACCTGTTGCTGCTTTCAAAAAATGACTTGATCTTCTTACTCATCGAGCGACTCCCACTATCATTGATAATGTTCATTTTGTTGGGCAGGAAAAGAAGCAAAGACTTCTTACAGAACCAAACAAGGCAATAAGCAATGGCAAAAAGAAGAGGTCCATACATGACTGGTATGATTACATATACTGCTATGTCAATTGGTACAAATGTTAGTGCAATCAAGCCAGCTAGCACTAATAAGAGGAGGAAGTTGGTGAGATTGTGAATGTTCTCAGTGTACGGTCGAATTATCATCACAGCTCCAGCAGTAATACCTGTCAAGAATAATTGCACAATTGGGATGATATTCTTGCCTTTGTAAGAGATAAAATAGGTAGAGAGGAGTGCTATGCGAAATAGTAGAAAGAGACCGGCAAAGTAACGAAAGTCACTTAGTTTCTTGGTGCTGTAGCGGAAAGGACCAGTCAATACATCAACCAATGCTACTAAACTTTCTCTACGTAAGCGTAAGCAGTTAAGAACTCTTTGTGTTTGACGAAACTGATAAACAACAAGGAGGAATGTAGGCAATGCCACAAAGAGAAACAGAACCACAATTGCTAAAGAGCCATATATAGCATGAGATGAGTTAAAATATTTTAGGCTCCCATCATAAAAATATACTTTTTTAACTTTGTTATTAATGACATCTTTATCTGTACTGTAATGCAGGAGTTTAAATGAGATACTGGTCAGTTGTGTGAAGCAGAGAATGTAGATAAGTGCAAGTGAGTCTATCAATGATGGCTTTATTCTCATTCTCAACCAGAGTCTTGCAGCTTGCTGGTGAATAGGCCTAGTAATCCGCACTACAAAACCGTAGCCTTTGTGGTACATTACAATCCAGACATATAGTAGGAGAAATAGAGCAAGGGCATAAAAGACAACAATATACTGGAGAGCAATGACTTCAATGGCACCCATCTTACTCCCAATGCACATTTCCACATCTTGAGTTAGCGTGAAGAAATCAAGGTTCCAAATGCTGAAGGGAAATGCTGCATAACTGAAAATCCTATTGTACTTAGAAGTATCAGAGCTATGAAGCCACAAATTAGCCAACCATGCTGGATAATTCCAAGCAGGGAAATTAATTGAGATTATTTGCGAGTACAGAATGTAGCCACTGATTGACCCATTGGTAATCTTCAGGTTGAAAATCACAATTAAGAATATCATTAAAGTCTCTGGGAGTATCTGAAGAAGAAAGAACATTGACCAACCCCAGGCTTTGCTGTGAGAGCAATTCTTGCACTCTAAATATATTGAATTAATTGGTATTGAGTAGCCTTTCTTGCATTGCCCACAAAGTATGCCTTCTCTGTTACTGGCACAATGACCATTTCGAAGAGCACTAATATTAGAATAAGCTTTACAGGAGAAATCATAGTATGAGAGTGGACAGTGGCCAGCATGAGTTTCATTATCTGCAGATCTAGAAATGCAAAGACCATATTTTTCCTTAATAAGCACTTTGCCTTGAGTTAATTTTTTAAACTCACAATCTGTAGTGCAGCTACAGGAATTTCTGCCAGAGCAGCAGTAATAGTCCTCTATCAGTACACATTGATTAGAATGATTAGACAAATATAAAGGCCAAGTACATTTTTCAATATTAATAGACATGTGAACCTGCAGTGCCATTCTACCTTTTGTGGTGATGCTCAATTGAACTGTATCCTCATCATTAGGATGATAGCTTTCATCTCCTTTTGAGTAGAAAATAACTGAATTTTCCCCATTTAATGTTGATTTACATTGCTGTTTTGATGAAAATTGTGCAGGTCCTGAAAGCACACAAACTATCAGACCTGGTTGAGCAATCCCTCCAGTGCCATCCCATACAGTAATAGGTAGCTCTGTCTCACCACCAGGAATAGCTGGAACCATAATTTTATTAACTTTTACAAAAGCTGCTGCAGAATCAACATGATTATGACACTTGCCTGGCTTATAGTGCCAATGTTGCCAGCAGAAAGTAGTGTTTAAGCTTGTATTATTGTTGCTATTTTCAGGAGGAAACCAACATGAAATAGCATTGGCAGCATAAAGTGAGGATGAATTACTGTAGCTTCGAGGCATTCCTATTGTATTGCCTTCAAAATTGAAAGTAGAGCTCCAATTATTTGGATGGTAGTAAGAGTCATAATATTGTAGGAAACATTTTGAAGAGAGTGTCGTTGGCTGATTGTTAGAAGTGCAGACATCAGCAAAGATTGCACCTCCTAGTACATTAGCACTGTTATCAGTGAAATTAAATTTTGTTCTTTCACCTATAATAATGTAACTACAGTCATACAATGCCATAGCTCCACCATTAACAGCACTATTATTGAAAAAAGTAACAAAAGTTTTACTCTTTATGTCAGCGTAAGTTGTATGAAGTTCTATTGCTGATCCAACATTGCTTGTAAAATTATTCCATGACTTTAGAGCGAGTGAAACTCCAGAACTGTATAGGACTCCAGAGCATGGTAGAGAGGAGAAGGGTAAACTCTTGGTAAGATTGCAGTAGATTCTATTGCTATTAACCAGCAGCTTTTGAAGAAAAACAATGACACAAAACTCTGTGCAATGTGAGAGAACTTCCTGACTGAAATAAGCAGCAGCACCAAGAAAGGCAGTGTTATTAGTAAAATTGGTACTTAAGATGGAAACTGTATTGTTACTGCCACTATTTTTCTTTCCCTCATTCAAATTGAGCTCTAATGACAATCCACCACCTGCAATGCCTCCGTTGGAATCAAAAAGAGAACTTGAGATCAAAATCTTGTTTTCAGTTAGATTTTCACCAGATAGGATAATTTTTCCTCCTCCTCCACTGCCATCAATATGACTTGATTCTGAACTAGTGCTTTTCAGCAATTGAGAATTAATGTTTCTCTGTAAAGTCACATCTTTGAATGTCAAAGTATTGCTATGGGCTTTATCATGAATTGCAACATAGAAACCACTTCCAAATGTCCCGGCATTTCCACTGATCTTGACACCGCTGATCTTAACTGAAATTTTATCTGTGATTCCCTTAAAAATAATAGAAAGTCCACCACCATGACCAAAAGTAAAATCCTGCTTTCTTCCATTATGTGCCTTGTAAAACAATTCCTCTAGGCCATCATTACTTTGAGTAGCATTATTATCAGTAAAGTTTGTGTTGTTAATAACAATAGTAACACCCGACAGGGCAGGTTTATCATAATCATTTGTACAGGTGCTGATTCCTGGAGAGCAAAAGGTAAACTCAATCTGTAGCCCTCCACCCCCTGGACCAGTCTGCCCTTTCTGGCTGTTGTTTACAAAAACAGAATCAGTAATGACGACTGATTCCTGTGGATCATATATTGTTAGCCCAGTCCCTTTTGACGAATTAATATGCACATGTTCTAAATTGATCCTGCTACAATTCAGCATGTAAACAGCAACAGTGAAATTTATAAAAGAATTGTTATGCTGGTATTTACTGCTGCTGACTTGATTGATGCCACAATTAAGGAACAAAATATTTTTTAGTACAACCTCTCCAATTGATCTGAATGTCAGGCCTGCTTCTGGTGAGCACTTTATAGTCACGATGCTGGTTTCGCCCACAAGTTCAAAATAATCAAGGTCAGTTAGTACAGTCTCATCACCACTTTGTAGCTCATCATGCTCCACAGTCCCTAAGAAAGTAATGGATAGTGCTCTATCTATGCTCTCTGTACCTGTATAATTGTAAAAAAGGCAAGACTGAACAATGATATAGACAGCTAGAATATAATATTATCATAATCATTTAAATGGAGGTGTAAGTAGATGGTTTAATGCAATTGCCTCATGCTTAGAACTAGCTCTAGATAAATGGGAAAACTATGATTAGCTGTTACCTTCCTGTAGAGCCTCATTTAGGCTAGTCAAGCAATTCCCACCATAACGTTGATTGCACTCTTCCTTTGACGAAATGTAGATTTCTCTGTTAAGTGCCAATGAACCAAATACGTTCAAGGTAGCAACGAGCAAAAAAAGCAATCTTTCTCCCTCTATTGACATCTTCAGAGGAACATTGATACAGGTAATTTAATATTGGAATTTGGGAGGGGTGACCACTGACCAGATCAGATTAAACAGGTAGATCTAGATAACCACATCATAGATCATAAAATACTATTATATCTATAGTAGTGTAAGCATAACCATAAGTCAGGCAAGCCTGAAACTTTTCTATTGGTAATGTTTGGTTCATTCTCAGAGTGCGGGAGTTTATTTTATGTAAAAGTGGATATTAAAACAAAAATATGCGTTAGGAGAGGAGTTTGCTCTTGTAGAACATATCGGCTAGTTTGAACAATCCCTGCTCCAGTCCATCACTGAAGCTGTGACTGCTGCTAGCTCTGCCTGATGAACTGTCTTGTGAAGTTGTTGTACGCGAGCTTGAGAGAGAGAGACGACTTGATGAGCGAGGAGAAGGAGCTCCTTTACGATGAAAATTGAGTATCAAAACCTGACAGAAGTTGCCCTACACAAGCCAAATAGGCAGATGTGATCAAATATCTATTATATTTGTGGTTGAAAGTACCAGTAAGTGCACAATATCACACTGTGTTCACATCTATGATGCTGTGTCAGTAAATGGTGTAAGAAAGTAGGTTATATGCATTAAAAGAAACAATTCATAGTAGTTCATAATAGTAGCATCAAGAGTATCATCATGTACTTACCAGTTCACTAACAAGTAGCTTCTTCAGTGCTTGCTTCTGAACAATATCAACTTCACTGTCAATGATATAACGGACTGACTGTGACATTAGCAATACAACTGCCTACAAATCATCACAATATATACAATCATAAAGAAAACCTATGTTAACAAAGATGATAGGTAACTCAAAAGTTAAGCAAAGATATGCAATACTAATAATATGCAATAAAAATTATTATTATCATTATCAATAAATAAATCTTACTAGCTCCAACATAAGCAAAATCTCTGCACGTTTCTGCTGGACTGCAGGAGTAGAGTGTGAGCGATGTGGAGGAGCAGGGGTAACAGGACTCTTCAGAGGAGAAGATTTTGATGGACTACGAAACGGCGGGACAGTCACAAAAGAAGATCGAGTACTAGGATCAGACTACATAAACAACAACAACAACAACAATAATAATAATAATGATGATGATGATGATAATAATAATAATAAGAAATAATAATAATAATAATAAATCATAGTACTGTACAAATTGTGCATGATAGGTTTTATACCTTTTTCAATAGCTCACAGCCAACATTGAGTGTACCAGTCAGTGTGCTGATTGATGGAGGACAAGTTGGATCCAATACAGGTAGATCAAAGAAAAGATGAAAGAGAGGTGGCCACTCCAAAAGGTCCAATGGCTGTGTAAACTAAACAAACACACAATTGAAAGTAATAATTAGGATTTTTAGGAGTTGTGTCTTATAACGTACAGAACACATAAAGAGGTCATTCAGTGGAGGAGTGTAGCAGTTGAGAACTGACAAACAAGATATAGAGATTGATACTAATCTAGTAATGATAGGAGACAAGTAAAGCCTAGAGTGTTTAAACTAACTTGTCCCTGACTCTTAAGTAGGCAGGACTGAACTTTATCCAAGAATCATCATTTACTTTTGGTGAGAAATGCTCCTTTGTTTTAATAGCATTGGAAGACTCCTCAGGTTGAAGTAGACCATGACTGTCCATGGTCTAAAATTAAGAAATAATTTCATTAAAAATAATAATAATACATAGATTACTTTAATGACATCCTTTATTCTATTCCTGTGTAGCACAGCTATAGCACCATTAAATAGATTAAGAAGCCTCTCCTATTATCAATTAGTAAACTATTTTACTCATATTTTAAGCATACGATTGTTATGTTGTGCTGTTGAAGTAGCACTGTCCTCCATTGTGAGCGATACTCCACTAGCACTTGAAAGAACTGACACACACTCTCTGTCTCTTCCAGTGACTCCATGAAACGAGTGGCAATGTAAATATCAAGAACCTTAGGAAATATAATAATACTTAAGTTAAATAAATAAGACAACAATGAAGTGAATGAGCACTATAGTATTATTTTAATGGCTTCTATGTGTACAATGTACATATACAATATTTTAGCTTTCAGTCCCTCAGAAACCTTATATCATTAATTCATAGACGCACATTACAACATTAGTAATGTATTTGTTCTTCTTTAAGTTCTTTCTTACCCAGGCTAATCTATCATAGTGAGCTCCTATGAAGTTAATGACAGGCTCTATCACATAATGTCCTTGCGAGCATAAGAGATTGCTGACTAGCTTTAGAGCTGACAGCCAAACCTTCAGCCATTGAGAGGGAGGCATCAACTCCTTTAAACTCTTAACATCTCCTATCTATAGACACAGGAATGATATACTTATCATTGACTCATTGACTGTGGTAGTGCATAACCTGAATCTGAGGGTTGAGCTTGTCCACAACAACACACAAACTAACATTAAGTAATTGAAATATGTTGTTGCCTGAAAGAACCCTAGAGCCCTACAAAAGACAAAAATAAGCAATATGTACATATATATAAGTGAGACATTTAAATGATAACATTAACATTAGTACCTTATTTGACATGGCCAGTGTCAGGAAGAAAGAAAAGCAAGCATTCACAAAGTCTGGATGTGACAGTGCCTATCATAAAACACAGTATTGAGACATCAGGTCAAATATAATTACTAATTTGTGATAAAAATTTCTAAAAAATCCAATTTTTGATTAGGATTAGCTGAAAATTTTTTATAGATATTAGAACAAGTATTAAAAACTGTAATACTCAGCTATTTAGCATGAAATACAATAGTTCCCATATTCTCACTACAGTACAGGGACTTTGGCTCAATTTGGAGCAACTTTAAAAATTCATAAAAAATCTAAATTTGATTAAAATCAGTTCAAACTTTCTACACAACATAAGAACATGCATATGCATCAGAAAAATTATAAAAATGGAGAATTGTATCCTATAGTCATTTTTGACAAAATTTGACCAAATACCCTGTACTATAGTACAGGGACTTTGACTTGATTTTGGAACAACTTAAAAAATTCATAAAAATTCTAATTTTAATTGGAATTAGTTCAAACTTGCTACACAACATAAGAACATGTATATGCATCAGAAAAAATTATAAAAATGGAGAATTGTCTCCTAGCCATTTTTGACAAAATTTGGCCAAATACCTTGTACTATAGTACAGGGACTTTCGTCTAATTTTGGAGAAACTTTAAAAATTCATAAAAAATCTAAATTTGATTGGAATCAATTCAAACTTTCTACACAACATAAGTACATGTATACGTATAAGGAAAAATTATAAAAATGAAGAATTCTCTCCTAGTCATTTTTGATGAAATTTGGCCAATGTCCTTGTACAGGAACTTTAGCCTGGTAGGGAGCAACTTAAAAAATTTGTAAAAAAACAATCTTGAGCAGAATCAGCTTAAACCTTCTACACAACATAAGAATATGTACGTATGTATCAATATTCTCTTTATCATTACTATTACTATTACCCAATGTCTCCCTACCATACCTCACAATGTCCAATACAAGCTTGGACTAATATCATGACAACAGAGTGATCCTGTAATAAGAGCAACCACTCCTGGTCACTCTCATCATCCTCAAGTATTGTTGCTGTTAATTCAGACAGCAAGTACACGCTATACACTTCAGGATAATGCTACAATGAATGAACAAATACATGTATATACATGCATAAGAAAGAATGACGTACCTTAGTGCTCATTGATAAGTATTGAGTGTAGTGGGTGAGTGTCTGTACTATGAGTGGTATCAAACCATGAGTGTAACGCACTTCCAGTTCAGCTAAGAAAGAAATTAATGTACAATTGTGTGAGCACAATGGAGGATATACTTCAGTTCAGGCATGAAACAATGCATACATACACACTCGCTAATATTTCTTACTTTCATTTTGCTTCAGTGACCGTACGATACAAATCAAACACGAATACACTAGAGGCAGAGTCTCCCACAGGTTGGGATGATATTCGCAATTAATGAAAGAAAAGAGTATCTCGATGAACCTCCCAATCACTTTACAAGGGATAGTAACACTAGAAAATCACACAATAATAAACACACAGTCACAGTTAATTCATTGCTATACCTGGTCCATTTCTTCAATAAGGAGAGATAGAGGGTAAGCAGTTCGGTTACAACCGACAGGCTCTGTGGGAGTCGCTCTGTTTGAACCATGAGAGAAGCTAAAAGCTCCTGGAGGAGTACCTCCTTCTTGTCGTTACTGTGTAATTCAAATAATGACTCCTAATGATCATCAGTCAATAAATTAATCATAATAATATAAATAATTTAATTTAATTATAGCTTACATGATGATGGAGTGCTACTAGAAGGAATCTCTTCCAAACCTCAGCTAGGTCATATTGTACTTTAATTATTTCCACAGAGACAGTAGCAGCTGCCCCCACCTCACTCTTATAGGACAGCTCTGAGTCTTCCACTTGTGGCTTGGCCTGGAATACTTTACACACTCTTTTGTATAAACCATCAGACACAAACTTCCCAATCGATGTAATAAGATCCTTATCAATATCACCTCTACATAATAATAATAATAAACAATGATAATTTAAATGCAACATAAGTTCATCTACATATTATATGTACAAACTCATTACATAAACTTTCAATACAATGTATGTCATAAAAATTATAAAATACACAATAGGAAATACTGCTTACACATTAACATAGTATAATTCCAATGCTATTATATGAAATATCTCCACACAGATACGTATCTTGTGAGTCTACACAATACAATCACACTATAAAAGTCTACATTGACTAATATAATACAGTACCTGTTGGGTGTCTTGCTCCACTGATTGATGAGGCAAATTATCATAAAGAACCTTCATGAGGTGCTCCCAGAATTTATCGGAGGATCTAACAGCCTCAAGAGCAGCAACATGTCTACCCTCCCAGAGGACTCTTAGCAGGTGCATACCAGCAGAAAGCAATGAAGAAACAACTGGAGGAACCTAATCATAATGAAATATAACTACTACTGCGGTACTTGATGAATAAATAAAAGTATTACTGCTACATTTGATATGCATAATAATTGCATGTACATGAATGCAGCAGTCATAATTATAATAGATACACATACACTCTCATGCCTGTACCTGGTGCTTAGGATCAATCATATTCAGAACAGGATAGAGGCAGCTATCAGGTCTTATCATTTCTTTCTTCTGACTGGTTGAGTCATTCTTCCTGCGTAGGCTCAACGATAGGAACAACTCCAGTAGTCCTGGCTGCGTCCCCATTGATACTGATATGAGATTAAGTATAGCAATCCTCAGGTTATTACTCTAATAAAAATAGCTCGTATAGAATGACTAAAAAACCCTCTACCATACTTCAGTCCTTGCTGACAGACGAGTAACAAAATTATCCCTAAGAGCAAGTGCCTCTTGACCAAGACAAGAGAACATTGACATTGGAGCTACCTATCATGATATAATAAAATAAAAAATACATTAAATATGATGTACTGTACACATACAGATGCTAGTCTTGTTAGTAGTTGGATGGCTGATATGGGTACAGTGTTGTCATCATGATGGTATATGTATGAAGCCAGTCTAGTCACAATGTGTTGAGGAGTAGAGGCTGAAAAGAACGAATGACCAACTGTCCTTGTAGCTAGGGCCTCCTCCAATGGTGTCACTGACTACATACAATAATAATATTTAATATTTAAAATAGTTAATAAAAAATAGCAAGCTCACTTCAGTTTTCTTGCATTGCAATAAGAGATCAGTGATTTTGAATGATATCTTTAAAGACTCAATTGGTACTGAAGTCTGACACCAACTAAAACAGCAAACACACACATAGAATATGAAAAACTTCAGAAGATGCTAGAAGAAGATGGACTAACTTGTGAGACGATGCCATCAGTTTATTAACAGTGCTGACTCCCATACCAAGTACATTGATTATCAGTACATGTCCGGATGATGTTAACAGCAAATCAACAGTGAAATCATGTAGCATACTAACCAATACACAATACACTAGTACAGTGAACAGTGAGTCTACTTACGTATGAATACTGTCACTAGCTTTATTAGCAGTAGTCTCCAATACCTTGAGACAAAGCTTCAATATGAGATGACCTAAAATATAAGGAAATGAATGAACTGTGTAATGTCTTCACATACAGAACTCTTCTCTGTCCTTCTGGCTATTATACCTCCAGTTCTGACTGGTTAGAAACACAGCCTGCATAATGTACACAATAGTGGCTAGCATGTACTCAGATATGGTATCAGAGGAGGATAGACTGCTGTGTAGGAGTCTCATCATTGCTAGAGTCACAGCATAGCACCCGTGAGCTCTCTCCCAGACATTTAGAATATTACAATAATGACTGGGAGATATCTGTAGACTGTAGCACAGGAAGGGGGGAAATACCAATGTAATGCAATGTATTTGGTTTTATAATTACTCTTGTGGTGATCCGATTAATTGTGGTAGAAATCCAGTCTGAGCTAACTGTCTCCAAACTTCTTTTGCTTGATTCTCTGCCATCACTGCCAAGCAATTGATACATTCGGCTATGAGAAATACTGGTGGATGCAATAATCCAGAAAACCTGGGAACAATAATACAGTACTGGAGTAGTAACAGTAATAGTGATGATGAGCTTACTTATGTAACACGCTGTATACATTAGATAGCAATGGGCCAATGTTGAATGAAACAGACCAGTTATACTTGATCACTCTTGCTGTGAGTTTAATAATCATTGTCACATAGTCTACAACTGGATGACTCTCTGAGCCTATACAAATGCCCAGAATGAAGCATTATTATTTGCACTATCATTTATACTCATTCCTATCCCGGATGTATGGAGTAAGTGTATCAATTGAACTGCAAAATAATCCCAAACTGAGTACATCAATTCCCAGCATATGGTCCTAGGAGGCTCTTTATCCTCTTCCTCCATCACATCAGTGCTGCAGCTAACAACTCCTTTAGTACCAGGAGGCATCAGTAATGGAGGGAGACCAAGAGACAAATACTCTTCAATGAATATAATAACAAGAACATCACAAGTTATACTTGTATGTAACTGTGTACCTTTCTCAAATAGTACTCTCGGATGCTTAAGTATGAGATTAGTATTATTGAGAACATTATCAGGACACTCTTCTGTGTAGAAATTAAGTTCATTGAGTAACATGAAGACTCTCTGGGCAGAGAGCTCGTCTTGTGATAGCGAGAGAAGCAACTTCAATACATGATCAATTTCAAATGGTAACCTAAAGTATACATAATATCAGGCAACAAGTAATGTTGGAAGAGTGACTGTTGGGGTTAATGGTATAAGGTAATTAAGTTAACCTTTTCACTGCTGATACTAGTAGTACACCTAATCCATCATCCAGACCCTATTCAGAGAATGATTGAGTACATTGTTAATAAACTCAAATAGATAATTACATTTTCCCAAAACTCTAGTCTCAATCTTGGATGAGTTAGCACGTGTGAGCTAATATCAAGTAATACCTACACATGGTATACCAATAATAATAATAACAATAATAATAATAATATTATTATTATTATAATAGAAGGATTAATGGTTTACCTGAATATCACCAAGTGAGTCCTCACTGAACAGTGATATGACTAAACTCACGAGTGTATTGATAATACTCTTACCCACTACAGCAACAGGCTATGGAAAAAAAGAGAAAAACATTCAAAACTTAAATAAACGTCCATTACTGATACACAATTATGTATATAACAACTAGTACATGTTAATGTCTACTTGATGGCTTTTAAAATTTTTGATCTCCAGTTTATTTAGTACATGTACTACAGGGTTCAGGATTTCGACATAGTACTCATGCAGCTTCTTGTTAGTGGATTGTCAAGTTGCTCAAAAATCAGGCCAATGACCAAAGGCTATAGTCTTGGCCAAATTTTGTCAAAAATGTCTCCGAGAGTATTCTCCATTTTAATAATATTTTCTGATACATATACATGTTCTTATGTTGTGTATCAACTTTGAGCTGATTCCGATCAAGTTTGGATTTGTTATGAATTTTTAAATGTTGCTCAAAAATCAGACCAACAACCAAAGGCTATAGCCTTTGGTCTTTCGCAAAATACTGTCAAAATGGCTAGGGGATAATTCTCCATTTTAATAATTTTTTCGATTTGAGCTAATTCCAATCAAAACAAATTCTTATGAATTTTTTTAATATGCAAAACCCATTCGTTCTACTGTCACGAAATCTGTGACAAGCAAAAATTCATTAGTTCCGTTGTCACAAAATCCGTGACAAGCAAAAACCCATTCGTTCCATTGTCACAAAATCCGTGACAAGTAAAAAACTCATTAGTTCCATTGTCACGAAATCTGTGACAAGTAAAAACCCATTCGTTCCATTGTCACGAAATCTATGACAAGTAAAAAACCCATTAGTTCCATTGTCACGAAATCTGTGACAAGTAAAAACCCATTCGTTTCATTGTCACGAAATCTATGACAAGTAAAAAACCCATTAGTTCCATTGTCACGAAATCTGTGACAAGTAAAAACCCATTCGTTCCATTGTCACGAAATCTATGACAAGTAAAAAACCATTAGTTCCATTGTCACAAAATCCGTGACAAGCAAAAACCCATTCGTTCCATTGTCACGAAATCTGCGACAAGTAAAAACCCATTAGTTCCATTGTCACAAAATCTGTGACAAGTAAAAACCCATGCGTTCCATTGTCACGAAATCTATGACAAGTAAAAAACCCATTCGTTCCATCATCACGAAATCCGTGACAAGTAAAAAACCCATTCGTTCCATCGTCAAGAAATCCGTGACAAGTAAAATACCCATTAAAGTTGCTCCAAATGCCACGTGCTGTATTATAGTGCTTGTCAGCTCATGAAGCTCATGCGGTTTACATGTAGCTCACACATTGTGGGAAACCCTGCAGTTAGACATGATTAATTGGTTATGTTAAATAATATCATTATTTTAAAATTATGTTGTTCAAACAAAATGATAAAACAACACAAAACGTACCCTATCTCCAGATAAAAAGGGACTTTCCAGCATTTTCAGGAGATAAGCAAAGGTAGACTGACAGTCAAGTTGTCTCATTTGCTCAAGGTATTTAACCTGATCCTCATCGTCAGTCAACATGTAGCAGAGTACAGACCAAGCCAGGAGCAGCGGTGAACACTGGGAGGGCTCCTCCTGTAATAGACTATCTATTGACTATATAGTAAGCAAAATAAAACTAGTATATACAGCCATTAGGCATAAACCTTAGATTCTTTGAAACCACTCAAACGATGCTTATGTAGTCTAAAAAATAATAATAAAATACAAAATACACTGTCTTTTTATCAGTACTTGGCCGGATCACTTTTGTTTTTCAGTAGCCACTCAATATAGAATGCTTCCAGTAATATGATAGTATACAAGTGATTGATGTGACAGGAAAGGAGCTGAGATGAGACATCCAAATGACAACGACCACGTGATTCATACCCAAACCCAATACCCTATTGAAATGAACTGTACATACAATGTATATATGTGTGTATATTAATGTACAGTGTACAGTATAAACTACAGGGTTTCCCACAAAGCATGCTAAATGAACTAGATTTACAGCATGACAGCTCATACATGCATTTGGAGCAACTTGAAAAATTTATAAAAAATCCAGACTTGATCGGAATCAGCTCAAAGTTGATACACAACATTAGAACATGTATACGTATCAGGAAAAATTATAAAACTGGAGAATTCTCTCCTAGCCATTTTTGACAAAATTTGGCCAACGAGCAAAGGCTATAGCCTTTGGTCGTTGGCCTGATTTTTAAGCACTTTTAAAAATTCATAAAAAATCCATTTTTTTATCGGAATCAGCTCAAAGTTGATACACAACACAAGGACATGTATATGAATCAGAAAGAATATATAAAAATGGAGAATTATCTCCTAGCCATTATTGATAAAATACCCTGTACTATAGTGCAGGCCAGGGTCTTTGGCCCAAAATCCTGTGGGAAACCGTAATATACTACTGTATTTACTGGTACATAACAATGTAAATCAATATACATACCTGGTATTGTTTTATTGAGCCCACAATTTTTTCTGGAGGAAATTCAAAATCTTTATAAAATAAGAGCAAAATCTCAAGCAATTCGCACTACAAATAAATTTTAAATTAATCATCCAATGATTCATCACTGTACTTGCTCCAGGAGTAATTGATGCACCCATTTCCTTTCTCCATCAGGAGTCTATCATACACCATGTACATGTAATATTGTATTTATAATAAGAAATAAAATATAGCCAATCACCTCGACAGTAGTTGGGATTTCTTCCTTAACAGACTTATCAAACTGTTTCCAGACCTGTAGAGTAGATACATGTAAAAAGTATGTATACATACATGTATATAGTTAAAAAAAAACAACAACAACAACAATAATAACTCACTCCAGAAACAAATGCAACAGTAGTAATCTCAAGCACATCGACACATCTCTCATACACAACCTATTGTGAATGAATATTTTATCAAAATAATTTTACCAAAACAACTAACTCGAAAAGGATGACTGCCATCTTGCCAATAACCTAAAATTTGCTTCACACATCTAAATATAAAATAATACTACACAAGTTTAATATAAAGACCTAGTTACCTAAGAATATAAAGTCTTTCTCTATAGTAATAGTCCTCGATGTTCACTAATAGAGTGCTGTGATCTGCTGAATTAGGTAAAAGATTATGTATGTCTTGAAGTGAGCCACAGTATCCTTCAAGAAGGAAGCTCTTAAATATCAGGAAGCTTTGCCATTGGTCTAAATTCTATAAAAAAGTTAATCAAATTAGAGTGACAAAAAAAATATAATAAATTGGTTTTAAATTGCATAACTTGTATAACCCATAATGGAGGATAGACTAACTAAACCCACAAGTACATAATGAATCCTTATGAGTCAATAATCATTAATGTCATTATTAAAATTCACTAACAAGCTTCTTGCTGATTTCTTGAATAAACTTGGCACTTTTTCCTGACACATCTTTGGATGACAATAGTTTTGATTCTGAAGCAGAGCTGTATATTAATACATATATAAACAAGAATAAAAATAAACGTGTACCTTGGTGGCTTGAAGTATGCTATACCACTAACTAAAAGTGACTTGTTTGTTTTAACTTCAGATAGTATTAGGTCCTACACAGATAAAGTACCATGTTCAGCACAAACTCATTCCACTCACAGTATTTTGAATAGCCGAATGGCCAGTTAGTATCTTCCACAGGCTCTGACCAGACCTAAAAGGCAATAAGAGGAAAAAACAGAATAAAATACAAACTAACCTTTCCGCCATATTGTCCTCCCACGTGGTTAGTGGTTACTAACTGTAACCGCACCCTAAAAACAGTCACGTTGTTTCACGTGTTAATTTTATTTTATTATTGATAATTTTATTTTATTATTGATAATTTTATTTTATTATTGATAATTTTATTATTGATAAATAATAATTATAAGTAACTTCCTCTGAAAGTGTTCCGGATGATGTATCACCAAAATCTGATAAAAGTACAGAGATGATTGAAAATACTGCTGTATAACTTGATTTTTTACTTCTAATAATTTTGACCTTTCATTTCTGTGTGTGTGGTAATTGAACTATTTATTGTTAGGTTTTTCAATTGTGTTGTGTGATTATAATTAGTCTCTATATATAGTCTAGTTATGTATCTTTTGTAACACCATGCTGCTTAAAGTGTTTGCACTTTGATTTTTGTCAGTTTAAGTTCTTATTCAGTTTTTGTTCATGATACTTTCTTAAGTCATAATTACAACATTTCTGAAAAAAAAAATGAAAAAAATGAATTCATTTTAAAGTGCGATTTATGAAATTTTGGATGTTCAATCAGCTGTGTGCACATCAATGCTTAGGAAAAGACTGGTAATAGTAGTACTTCAACAATTGAACTCATATTCCAGTAAAGCTCTTTGGTGCCTCATAGGATGTATTTCTTTATTTTTTCTACTCTTGATATTTTGTGCGTTATTTGATACCAGAGATAGGTCCATAAACCTATCACATTGTTCTATGAAAAAAGAAAAACTCCCCACATTTAGCTATCACTATAATAATCTAGAGCTGCCTGTACAATTTGTAGAGGAGAAGAAACAAAATGATGTATGGTTTAGTGTTGTGCTAGTTCCAACGGAACTAGAACTAAATCTATTTTAGTACACCTATTTTTCTCCTAGTTCTAGCTCCAAGAACTAGAACTAGAACTGAACTACATTGATACAAAGAACCAAAACTAGAACTAAAACTAGAATTTGACAAATTAAAGCACTGGAACTAAAACTAGAACTAAAGATTTAGCTATTAAGGAGTTGAAACTAAAACTAAAACTAAAATGTGCAATTGTAAATCACTAGAACTAAAACTAGAACTAAAACGCTACCCTTTTAATAACTGAAACTAAAACTAGAACTGAAATGGAGACCTTTTAATAACTAAAACTAAAACTAGAACTAAAATGGTACCACTTTGAATAACTAAAACTAAAACTAGAACTAAAATGCTACCCTTTTAAGTTATTAAAATTAAATTTCATTAAAAAATTATAAAAATCACCTAGAAATGGTGCATTAGTAGGACTAAAACTAGAACTATAAGGCCAGAATCAGAATTTGGCATGGAACTAAAATTAAAACTAAAACTAAAACGGAAGTACTAGTAGAACTAAAACTAGAACTGAAACTAGAAATGAAGTACTGGTAAAACTAAAACTAGAACTATAACTAGAAATGGAGTACTGGTAAAACTAAAACTAGAACTAAAACTAGAAACGGAGTACTGGTAAAACTAAAACTAAAACTAAAACTAGAAATGGAATACTGGTAGAACTAAAACTAGAACTAAAACTAGAAATGGAGTACTGGTAAAACTAAAACTAAAACTAAAACTAGAAATGGAGTACTGGTAAAACTAAAACTAGAACTAAAAGTAGAAATGGAGTAGTTGGTAGAACTAAAACTAGAACTAAAACAGAAAATAGAGTACTGCACAACACTAGTATGGTTCTGGCAACAGAACTCTTGATGTTTTACTAGTTTCTTCTCTAAATTTAATTATTCTCTTCACACCACAATATCATGTCAAGGCAAAAATCTCCTTCCTTATGCCACTCTATTAAGAGAGAGCACAACAAACTTTCAATATGAATTACCAAGCATTAACTTTTTCATTCATGACATGCTTTATGTTGCTATCAAAAGTTCATTGTTTGTCAGTGATCTTGAGTATATTTGTCCTCCTGGTAGAGGTGTTCTTGATGGAAACTTTATGTGCAGTGAGTTTCGATACTAATTTTGCTAAGTAGAATTATTGCCATTGTTATTAGTTGATTTGTTCTGTTGGAATGTCCTCAAAACTTGATGATCAAGCCACACAGTGTAAGCCATGCAGTAAAGGAACATAATGGTGTTGGTGTGGCTCAAAATGATTGTGTTTCTTGCCCACCTGACACAAGTACAATTAGTAATGGAGCTACATCAATTAATGACTGTTTTTGTAAGTAAGTATTTATTCATTAAGTTCAGCCATGATTGCATAAATTAAGATTTAATTGGACCATTAAAAATTCATAAACAACTCAAAAACTTCTTAAGATATAACTTGAAACATGTACAATGTATCAAAAAATTGAGAATTCTTTCTTGAGCTGTTTTTACATATAGTACAGAATCTTTTGCCCAATTTTGGAGCAACTTTATAAATCATTTTAACACATAATAAGCACTAGATTAGTCTAGTCAAACTCAGCAAAATATTAGATATCATATGTCAAAAGGCTCTCTTGAACGAAAACATGATTGTTATACAATGGATTATTTTTCCTGACTGTGTCACTGCCATCATCATCACTTGGTTGATTGGTCTTTTTATTTTTAATGATTACAAGAAGAGCTATCAAAATAATTGCCAACAAAACAAAAGTTGTAGCTAAAAGATACAATATGTAAGCTAAGTTAGAACAATAAATTTTTACTTACATGCAAAAATAGTTGTTATGATGTATGTCACATCACCAGTAGGATGTTGCTATAAAAATTATGCAGATTATCAATGTTATAATTTTATTGTAATCCTTACATTGATACATACAGTATCTGGAGTGGTAACATTTTTATCTTCATCTCCTGGTGTCTGAGATGCCATAATGCTAGTAGTTAATAATGTTGTAGCTAAACTCGAGTCATCTTTAACTTTAACTTCTTAATAATCATCATTATTATAAAATTGCTACACATATAACATTAGTATACTAACCAAGGCAAGTGTAATTATCATCACCCAAGTAATATCCTGTTTGACACTTGCATTCATAACTTCCTTTAGTATTGTGACAAATATCCCCACACAAGTCATCTTGTAGACATTCATCAATATCTAAATCAGATAAAAATAATGTTGACATTATAATTTAATATATAATTACCTATACAATATACATTGTCGCATAAATAATATCCAGTAGAACAAGAACACTGAAAACTTCCAATAGTGTTAGTACAGTTGTGATCACAGTCTCCATTATTAGTATCACATTCATCTATATCTATATATAATATAAAGTCAGAGCTATATATCAGGGATTTTCAGTACCTTCACAATTTTTGCTGTCAATCAACTGATATCCTCCAAGACACTGACAATGATAGCTACCTTGAGTATTGATACATGTATCTGAGCAGCCTCCATTATTGTCATTGCATTCATTGATGTCTGAAATTAAAGCAAAATAATTATATAAAAGAAATTATATAATGCAGACCGAGACAATCATGTCCACTAGCCAATAACTTATATCCTGTATTGCAGGAGCACAAGTAGGAGCCATTGGTGTTAGTACACTTTTGATTACAAAAATTGTTTGACTGATCATGACATTCATCAATATCTACATGATATCAATGAAGCATCAAAACAATGTAGAGTTAGTTCCTTACCAATACAAGTTGTATTAGTTGTGGTGTTCAAAGTAAATCCATTGTTACATGCACAGTAAAATGAGCCATCAGTATTGATACAAGTATGTTCACAAATGCCAGGAATAGTCTGACACTCATTAATATCTAAATATTTGAAGACTCCATTGCAAAAATTTTTGCACTCTATATACCTTGACATGTGATCCCATTAGACTTCAAAAGATAACCAGTATGACATGAACAATTATATGAACCAGGATCATTGCTACAAACTTGATCACATGTGTCAGTACCCATAGCACATTCATCATTATCTGTGATTAATACAACTGTAGCGTCTTAAGTTGAATACTAACCTATGCATGTATGATTGTCATAATCTAAATAATAGCCCGATTCACATTCACAGTAGTAACTGCCTTCTGTGTTTATACATGTGTGATAACAACCAGAAATACCAAGATCACATTCACCAATATCTGTATATAAGGCTACTGATATAATGTGCATTATATACTATGCCAATAAATGGGTTAATAACCCAACACTGAGGATACTTTAAATTGATATCACCCAAAGGCCAAAGGGTGCTATCAATTTAACGTATCTATCAATAAATCTCAATAATGAGATACAATATAATAGATGTACCTTTGCATGTTATTTCATTGTCACTTAAAGTATAACCAGTGTTGCAGCCACACTGAAATGAACCCACAGTATTAATGCAAATCTGATCACAAAGAACTATACTGTGTGAGCATTCATCATCATCTGAAATTAAATCAATAAACATAGAACTTATACAGCTTGTGTAAGCTCTAACCTATGCAAGTGTGATTATTGCTACTATTGAAAATATACCCAGTATAGCAACTACAGTAGAAGCTACCATCAGTATTAGTGCATTGTTGAGTGCAGTTATCAGTACCAAGTTCACATTCACTAATATCTACATAAAAAGTAATAAAGTCCTTAAATAAAAAATATACCTGAACAGAAAATGCTTCCATTGTAGCCAGGATTACAAGTACAATAGTAGCTTCCATTTGTATTAGTACAAACATGTTGACATCCTCCATTGTTAGTAAGACACTCATTAATATCTATACATTACAATCAATACTGCATATATTTTTATAGGTAAATGTACCAGTACAGTCTGTAGTGCTACCATTAATGAAATCATATCCATCATAACATTCACAATTAAAACTTCCAGGAGTATTAATGCAAGTTTGAGAACAGCCACCATTATTATCCTCACACTCATTGATGTCTGTAAGTAAATCAATATCATGTGCATTGTACTAATGTATTATACCAGAGCAATTCTCAGCAGTAACTGTCAAATTATAATACCCAATCTTACAGCTACAGTAGTAACTACCCATAGTGTTAGTACAGGTTTGATTACAGCCACCATTATTGTCATTGCACTCATTAATATCTACAATATTAATAATAGATCTATGATTATACTTTTACAGTGCAAACCTGAACAATTGTATTCATTAAATGATAAAATGTATCCAGTTTTACATGAGCAGTCATAAGATCCAATAGTATTATTACAATAATGATCACAACCACCATTGAATGAGCTACACTCATCAATATCTAGATTAAAAAAAACTTTTGAATATTACGTGCCTAAGGCTTTTAAGCTCAGCTAACTAACCTGTGCAATTTGTGTCAGTACTGTCAAGTGAATAGTATCCTGATGGACAAAGACATATGTAGCTACCTTCTGTATTCTCACACCTTCCATCACAACCTCCGTTATTAAGATTACATTCATTGTCATCTATCAAAATTTAATACAAAAAATAAAAGAAATGACAATACCTGTACAATTTAGATCATTAATGTCAAGCTGATAACCCATAGAACATGAACATTCATAACTGCCAACTATGTTAAAACAGGTTTCTTCACATCCTCCATTATCATCAATACATTCATTAATGTCAGTACAGTTATGGTTATCTTTGTCCAGTTGATAACCAATTTCACAGCTACAGTTATAGTATCCAGGGTTGTTTGTGCATAATTGTGCACAACCTGATATTCCTTCACTGCATTCATTAATATCTATTTACAAATAAATTAGAAATAATTGACAAAAATATACCTGAACAAAACTTTTTGTTTTCTAATGCATATCCATCTTCGCATGAACATTCAAAAGAACCATTTTGATTATTACATCTTTGTTGACAACCTCCATTTTCATTAAGGCATTCATTGATATCTATAATCAGTATTATTATATCCACACAATACATTGCATATTAGTTGATACCTGAACAGTTTTTTCCATTATTATCTAAGGAGTAGCCACTATAACATGAACAAGTGTAGCTTCCATCAGTATTGGTACAGTTATGTTCACAGATACTGTTAATACACTCATCAATGTCTATAACAAACTTATGATCATTATTGTAACCTAGCTTTATGGTGTATGTATTACCCTGACATGTAGCATTGTCATTTTGTAGTTCATAGCCATCATTACATGAACAAATAAAACTATTATTTGTATCAGTACAAATTTGATTACAGTTTGTTGCATTTTCTGAGCATAAATATATTTCTATAATCCAGACTACAATATTATTATAACAATGAAATACAGTTTACTTTCACAGGTTATCCCATCATCAGTTAATCTGTAGCCAGGATAACATGAACAATTTAAAAGATCATTGTGACTATGACAAACTTGCTGACAGACAAGGGGATCAGTGCTACAATTTCCTATACAAATCAATGTATTACGCTGCATCAAAAACTTTATACTAACGTGAGCACCCATGATGATCTCCATCAAGAGCATAGCCAGTTACATTGCATTCACAGTTGTAAGATCCAGTAGTATCTATACAACGTTGCTCACACCCACCATTGTTATTTTCACACTCAATGATGTTAAAACAATAGTAGCTGTATTGTAACCTGTATCCAGGTCTGCAACTACAAAAGTACCATCCATCTCTATTATGACAATTATGCTGACATCTATTGCTCCAACTTGAAGAACACTCATTTCTATCTGTGTTATAAAAGTAAATTTCAAACAAGTTGCACAAAATTGTACCTTCACATCTGTTCGTTGTAGCATTCAAATAATATCCTGACCAGCAAGAGCAATAATAGCTCCCATATGTGTTATAGCAGCGCTGCTGACAGCCACCATTACTTGTTGAGCACTCATTAGTGTCTACACAGTATCTTTGATTGCTTATAAGACGATATCCAGTATTGCAGTCACAGTAGTATGATCCATTAGTATTGATACAGATCTGGTTACAAGCATTGTTACCATTAGCACATTCATTGACATCTTTTTAAAAATATTTAGAATTGTATAAATTATATAGTTAATGTTACTTACCATCACACTGATGTCTATCATAATTCAACTCATAACCAGAGTTACACCGGCAATAGTAACTACCAACAGTATTTACACAAGTATGTTCACATCCTCCATTATTAGCAAGACATTCATCAATATCAATACAGGTATGATTATCTGTGTCCAGTTCATACCCATTGTAACAACTGCAAGTATAGCTTCCAAGAGTATTACAACATATTTGATTACATCCTGATGTACCTTCACTGCATTCATCAATATCTATAAAGGTCACGTGGATTATGGATATACTTCAATGTGAGATATCAAGACAGTAACTCCACCACAAAGTAGAAAAAGAAAAACGTAGTCATACATACAATATGCATGCACCCAAAAATAAACAAGCTAATAATATGCAGAAACATTACCTGAACAGAATCTCACATTGTTTAACCTGTATCCAGTAAAGCATGAACAAGAATAAGAACTATTTGTAGTAGTAATGCAATTGTGTTCACAGCCTCCATTCCCATATGCACATCCTGCATTGCATTTAATTATACAGTACATGTATATATGTATAGATCTATAAATACCTTGTTGAATAACACTGCAATTATTATCACAGTTATTAGATAAAACCAAATCTAGATTATAAATAAATGAACACAAGCAGCATAATAATTATTGTATGTACAAAAAGTATCAATGATAACACAAATGAGACATGACCTAACCAGGTATTGTAATCAGTAGCAACAAAACACCAAACAAAGTCAATAGCTTCATTTTCAGTAACACAAGAAGAGTTGTTTCCTCTTTATCTCCTGATAGTATAAGGTCAAGGTGAGGCACCTTTATTCATCTTCTGAGAAGTAATATATTTCATAGAAGGAATTCATGAGCACCATAATTAACACCAAGACAACTGCAGTGAATAACGATCCTTTTGACAAACTAACACACAATTTAAATATATTCATTGACTAAACTAGAGTGTGTTAAGATAAATGAAGTAAAACTAATTATTATATTATCATGGCAATTATTATGACCAGAGTTCTTATTGTGGATCCAATTATTATTAATAAAAAGATTTTATACAAAATTATAGCAGCAGCATTGTTCAAGCAGACATTGCTCCCGAGAGATACTCATTCATCCATTCCCCAATGACAGACTCATTGTTGTCCAACCAGGCAATGTTCCCCCTCACAATCTCTTTAGATTGCTGGAGGGCAAGAGAAGCTGAACCAACATCAACTTTACCAAAGAAAGACTCAACCTCCTGTAGTTCCCAACTAGTAGCAAAGGAGCCTGTAATACTCCGTATTAGTCTTGAAAATGAGAATGAACCTCCACCATATCTGACAAGAAAAGAAATAATGTAATATGCTGATAATTACTAAGAATATGAAATCAGAATTAAACAGAACTTTCTATGCATCAGATGATTTAATACAATAAGATCTACAAGTATTTATATCTTTAAATTGAGAATTAGTACATGTACACAATACATATAGGACTCATACTTCTTAAATATGGTATCATAATTGTCTCTAACAAAGTTCCAAGCTAAATATCGTCCATTTACATTCCTTGCAACACTCCTTATCACATACAGTGTGTCCTGTGATCTTACTTGACTCATGGAATATTCTAAATATCTAATTATCACAGCAAAGAGGTAACAAATACAAAAGGATACATTAAAAAGTAACAAAATTTTGTATACAAACATTTCCATGCATGTACACTGTACATCACCCACCACAGTGTAGACTACTATAGTGCTGACCTGCTCAGTATCCAATATTCTTTAGACTGAGCTAAAGCTGACAGACATATTTGCTTCTCATAAGGATTAGTGGTGTTCTTGTACCAGGACCACAAGTAGTTCCACTCGGTCTCTCCTCCAGCAGCAATGGCTACCCGATACACAACCAAACGAAGATCAGGAGGAACGCTAAGTGGTAAGACACAGACCCACTGAATATACACCTACATCCTTCCATTAGTCATACCTGATACCATCAGTCATCCAGTTCCTAAACATGGTCAGGCTAGTATCAGCAATTGAAATGTCTCCATATTTGTAACCAGACAATAAGACATAAGTACGTAGCAATCTATACCAAAAAATAAATCAATAATCTTTTTTTTATTAAGGTACAGTAGATAATTACATTTGGAGGTGACTGAGTCCAGTTTTATTGAATGATAGTTTTCTAGTAATATTACCCATTAAAGAAGATACATATCTCTATAGAAGGTATGTGAAAGAGAGAAAAACACAATAATATTTAAAAACATTTTTAATAATGGTTGACATACTTTAAAATTTCCATATTGCCCGTTTGTTGATAGTTTATCAGAAAAGATTGAGAACCATCTAAGAGCAGTCATCCAGGGAGCATAATCCTCTTCATTGACAAGATAGCGACTTAAATTAAGAGCAACAGTTATATTGAGGAGACCAGAGCTACAGGAGCAGGAGAATAAAGAGAAGAAAGGAGAAGAGAGAGGAGACACGTACAATAAAGGAATGATGTGTATTCCTGCTTACGTTGATAGAGAAAAGGCATCTTCAAGCAACCCAGCTCTGTCTACAGCACTTAATATCTACACAAGCAAACACATGTACATGTATAATTATTGCAATCTACATGCAACTAAAGGTACTCTCTTTCTCTCCTCTAGCTGTCTCCCTCATCTCTTACTTGTGGTCTGTTGTTGGGTGGTGTCATCAAGTGTGCGGTGATACTCTGCCAGTTCCCAACATCATAATTGACACGATAGAAACCAGTCTGATTAGCGTTAGCTTTAATAAAACCATCATTTGATGAGTCCCAAGTAATGGTGTCTGAATAAAAGTACACACAAGGTTAGGATTTATAGCTTCAATAGTAAAAGAGAGATTAAGAGAGAAGAGGATTAGGAAAAAAAGGTCTCCATACCTTGTTGGTTCGATACAAGTTTCTTTGTGACACTGTTACCATTCTCAGTTATATAATCAAATGGTATTATCCAAACGTAACTATTAAAATAAAATAAAAAACAGAATAAGGATGACAATGGCATCACAATATGCATCAGAATTCAGAATATGTAATAGAAATTCCAGACTCAATCCTTAAAAACACTATGGGCTATATTTATACATGCATATTGATACTCTGTTTTTTAAATGTCACTACACACTAATCCCGCTCACTTGTATGGTGATGCTGCTGGCTGTTCTCCCTCTGGTAGTGGTATTTGAAAGAATCGTTTCTGACTGACAGTAGCTCTATTATTGTCACTAGCGGAGACAGTAACAACAGGATATCCCATTTGTTTGGTCCAAGTATCCATCATTTGTGATACACTGACGTCACTGGATGACACCTGAAATGATTACCAAAAAAATTATAAATTAATCTATGACTCCCTCATGCTACATAATATTCATTATCTCCTATTCTTCTTAAAAGAATCATTTATTATATTTTATATGTGCTTACTTCATTTAGTGCATCCCAGAGCTCATATGTCTCAGTGTTTCCGAACTTGTTGTTTTTCAAATAAAGCTGTAAAAATATTACTCAAAAGCATTATAATGAAATGAAGTTATTATACTGTGAGTCCATTGGTGAATGATTCATTGCCAATATAACCTCTCAACATTTGTATCAAACTAGCACCCTGTAAAAATACATTTGTAAATACAATAATTTAAATAGATTATTACCAGGGTTTCCCACAGGATTTTAGCATTACGTTCATGCAGGTTTTTGCTAGTGGATTTTAAGTTGCTCAAAAATTTGACAAGGTACACTCACTATACAGGGTATTTTTTTAAATTGCTAGAAAAGAATTTTCCATTTTATAATTTTAAAGTATATACACATGTTCTTGTGCTGTATAGAAATTTTGAGCTAAATTGGATTCTTTACAATTTTTAACTTACTCAAAAATCGGTCCAATGACCAAAGGATAGCCTTTGGTCATTGGCTTCATTTTTGAGCAACTTTAAAAATTCATAAAAAATCTAAATTTGATCGGAATCAGCCCAAATTTTCTACACAACATAAGAACATGTACATGCATCAGAAAAAAAATATAAAAAATGGAGAACTCTCTCCAAACCATTTTTGACAAAATTTGGCCAAAGACCAAAGGCTATAGCCTTTCGTCTTTGGCTAAATTTCACCAAAAATGAAAAGATGGGTATTTTTATTTTTATTATTTTTTTCTGATACATGTACATGTTCTTATGTTGTGTAAAAAATTTGAGCTGATTCCAATCAAATTTAGATTTTTTATGAATTTTTAAAGTTGTTCCAAGTTCCATGTACTGTACTGTAATGCTTATCAGCTCATGAAGCTCATGCTGTTTATAGCTCACTTAGCATGCTTTGTGGGAAACCCTGCCTATTACTATGATTTATACTTTCATTCCTGGTAGTATCAAGAGTGGATGGTAGTATCTATAGTAATAACTTACTTTATCATAAGAGATTGAGTCAAACAGTCCATTGATTTCATCTGGATTATTCACTTGCTGTATAATTGGATGACTCCAATTTAAACCATCAGCATCATAAGCCGTTTGAACTGTATCTATAAAAAACTGCTCCAACTAAAAAAAGAAAAAAGATAAAAACATAAATTGGGATTATATAAATAAATTAAATATACCATCATCCAGTCAGGCTGAACATGATCAGTGCCAATATACTCTACGTAGCTAGCAAAACCTTCATTAAGCCAGAGACCATCCCACCAGCTCATGGTAACAAGGTTACCAAACCACTGGAGGGAAAGAGAAAAAAAGAAATAAGGAGAGAGAGAAGGTAAAACACAAGTATATAATTATATTACCTGATGAGCTAGTTCATGAGCTACAACAACAGCAACTCTTTGTTTATTAACAGCTGGGTTCTGTGTTGAATTGTACAGCAATGCTGTCTCCCTGTATGTTATCAGGCCCCAGTTCTCCATGGCACCAACAGCAAAATCAGGAATAGCAAATAAATCTATACACAAAAGAAATCACAATAACATCAACTGCCTCACTACTAATGTCTGGAGACATATGTACTATGTAATCAAACTTCTCTTATTAGAGGAGTTTCAAAACAACAACAACAAGTTCTTAGATAGTGCTGGGGTGGGTAAAGACCATTAATTAAATAAAGGATGTCATTAATTTGTACACTGTCATACAAAAATGCGATAAATGTTACTCTAATATGCCAAAACTACATTACCAGCATCCAAAGTACACAAATTGAGTCACAACACCATATACTGTATTATCTCTCTCTCTCCCTCCACCTCTCTATCATGACTCACCTTGCTTGGGTAATGGATACTGTACTCCAAAGAATTCTTCATAGTACCCAATGACGCTCTTACCAACTGAGAGAGCATATGAAGTGTCACTGAATACATCAGGTCTGGCACATACCCTCACCTGAAAACATAAAAAAGAAACCATAAGTGAGTCTTACTGTCTACTACACTGTGATGAAGAAGCATACACTATCAGTAACAAGTGACCGACCATCAGACTCAACTTTTAATCAGCAGCAGTGTAAACAAAACAGAATTAATCTTTATACAAGTAATACTATATATAGATTGGTAGTATTGGTAATGTACTACATACACACACAATGAAACAGACTATAAGAATAATGAGTTCAACTAAAAGATATCACTTCTAGCCTAGTTGACAGACAAGAGGCATTTATGCACACACCTGACAGCCAGAAGTGCATGTACCATACAGTAATTAGAGAGTGCATGACATAAAGGGAAGAGTACTCTTGATATAATTCCTACATTTTTATCATTCTCTCTATTTCTTAGATTAGCTATATAGAATTTACAAAGGAGATAATACTTAAATTTGATACAATAAAAATAGGCATCAAGACTACCGTATAGCGGAAAATTTTGGAGGGACTAAAATTTGGCGAATTGCTAAATTTTGGTGATTGGCGGATTTTAATTTGGCGAATTGGTGGCCACGTGCATTGAGCATGCGTATAATGGCTCAAAATGGCGGGTTTAATTTTGGCGAATGGCTATCAAAACGCCAAATTCGCCAAATTTAATTCCCTCCAAAATTTCCCGCTATACGGTAAATATTATTAGAGTAAACTGTAGTCCAAACATTATGTTAAACAAAACAAACATCAGAAATTATGTATCACGCACAATAACAACATTGCTGAGTACAAGACACAAACAAATCATAAGTAGATGGATTAAGACATCAACTAATACAACATACATGTACATGTTTTTAATTATTATATATATTTACCTGAATGTGACCATTGACAGTTTGTGAGTCACTGCAGTTGAAATCCGATATGACAAAAGCCACAAGGTAAGTGCTCATCTTGTAAGAGGTATTGAAACTAGTGGTAGCCTTATCGTTAGCTTTAGACACTCTCCGTGCAACTGGCATATTAGACACTGCATTGTATCTATTGGCATGTGTGAGTTCAATGGAGAAATTAGCTTTCATTGCTGGTTCATCAAAGCAGGGAAAGGCTCTCCTAGCGTCAGTTGGTTCGAACTGAGTAGTTGCCAAGTAATGAACTTCATTATCGGCAAGTGAGTAGGAGCTTTTATAAAACCCAACCAAGTCATCACGTAGCGTGTAATTGAAAGATATGTTGAGTTGAAGGTTGTCATTGGTATCTAGGCTATCGGCTAGTTGAATGACATAGAAATCGTTATCAGAATAAAAGAATTGTCTCGATATGCCTAACTGATCACCCCTCACCCCCTTTGTAAGACTAACAGTGTTAAGAGTCATATCTTTAGCATGAAATATCACCAGGTCTGTTGATTGGTTCACTGATATATCAACCGAGACGAAGCCATTGACACGAAATGTGTTTAGATCAGTATCCAGTGAGACCCTGTACAATGCAGGGGTGAGGGTCTTAGGGAGACGTACATTAGTCCATGGCTTGTCGTCAGACCCCCCGGGGGATCCATTACCGGATGATCTGGAGAGAACAACTGCTATAATCACAAATACAATAGCGGCTACAATAATTATGATTCCTCCTATTAGTATGCAAATAAGTTCACGTTTTGAGAGCTTTAGACTACCAGGGGAGCAGAGAGGCCCTTCTTCGTCATTCACCAAATACCGTTTCTTCTTCCCTGTCAATGCTAAATATGAAAGTACTACGACAGTCAATAAACTAAATCTACATGCAAACCCATTTTATGATAAAATTATACACGTATATAGATTGAATTCCTCTCTACCTACTATTAAACAGGTACATGCATTAGTGCTCTTTATTGAACAATCATATTTCATTCATTGTTACCTGAGCTCTCATTGTCTTCAAGGTTCATATCAGTGTCAGAAGATTCACCATCCAGTTGTTCAAAGCCATTCCTATGCCTAGACATGGCTCCAAACTCCAAAGAGTGACTATTACAGAGAACTTGACTACTTGAGAGAAGGAAATAAACTTCCTTCTTTACAAGCAAATTAAATTTTCTGTTGAGCCACACCCTCTAAAGTACCGTAAAGTTTTAATTTAAAAAATACATCACGTGAGTACAAATAAAAAAATTTAAATTATCACGTGATACACTTCTGGTAAATACCGTAGACCTTCTATTCTAATAACCCGCATAGATCACGTGGCTATCACATGACAGCAATGTAATATTAGAGGAGGCCCCACCACAAACATTCTAGGAATGCATGTATGATGATGGAGGAGCTTTGAAGTCCTTCATCAGCTTTTAAAACTAAAAATACACGAGTCTGAACCAGTTCAGCTGTTTTGTTCACCAGTTTAGCAGCGTCCCCTCTCTCTATCTCTTTTTGTGTGTCTCTACCCTCCTCTTCTTCCCAGCAGCCTTCACTCTACACTCGTCTCAAGACTATCATCTCACAATCTCTCTCGTCTGCTGTGTAACCGGACCCTCCACTTACCCTTCGCCCCTTCTCCTCTCTTTTATTAGGCAGACCCTATTAGCTACTTTCAATCACTCACACAACAACCAGGCAGTGACTAGCTCTCTATCCACTACACAGTACTACAGTCCTTATATTATACACACTCACACACACTCATCAACACTGAAACGAATGACCCCTGCCTTCTCCTCTTCTTTACTTTGAAATGACGACCATTGAGCTGGAATTTACTACTAACATGATGTCTAATCAAGTTCTAGGAGGGGGAGGAGGTCAGGCTCCACAGGGAGTCACTGTACGAATAATGCAACCTGGTGTCCCTTCTGCTGGAGTGAGTGAGAGGGACAAGCCTGCTGCAAGGACACAAAAGTTATCAGCTTTCGAGCACAACGAGGGATTTGAGGTGTACAAGCCAAACATGTTCACGATAACTGCTTACTTACCCAATGATGGAAGGGATGGAGAAAAGAGACTGAAGGTATGTTGGAGAGGAAGAGAGAGAGAGGGGGGGGAGGGAAGTGAGAAGTGAGAGGAGTAAGTGTGTGTTTGTACATGGTCTTGTTCCATGTGTTTGTGTGTTTCTTTCTTTGGGAGGGATTGTAATGAATTATTGCGATGTGTGTGTCTGAAGGATGTTGTAGCAACATTCAAATTTCTATTGATGGTCATAATAGTACACTCATGTCCATGTTCATGTACATATACAGCACTGTAGCCTTATTCTCCCTGATATTGATGCTCATAAAAGTATGCATGTGCATAAACACACGCTCTCTCTATCTCCCTCAGTTTATTATACAGTAGGCTCACTAACAAGCATACACAAACACACTGTCTCAGTCTCAAATTTGATCAATTATACACATCACTGTACATTTCTCTCTCTGTCCTTTATTTTGACCATTTAAGGAGAGACTGTGGCCCTGTGGTGTGTCAGTGGTAAAAGGGATGGCCACAATGAAAAATGCTCCATGGCATCCTAAACAGCTACATTATTATAGCATTGTAGTCTCCTGGATTATGCTTTAGCTTTTGTCTGTTGGTTGACTCTTTTGTCTTGTTTCCAAATCTGATAATGCATGCAAATTGTAACTGGTTGATTTCTCAAGTGTAGAGTGTATTCTCCGTCAGTTTATATGTGTATTCATGTGTAGTTGTACCTGTACATGTGCATTGTGTGTGTGCCTTTATTTGTTCATTCTTTTATCATGATCTACTAACAAAATTGCTCCTCTAGTCTTCCACTTTCTCACAACCTCTTGCTTACTCATCCCTTTGATCATAATATTCATCTGCATACCTTACCCACTGCTGTGAGCTATGAATATGATGTAACACGATTATATCCTTTGGCAATATTATATCCCTTCAATTTTTGCATGAATGTACAATATCAGCCGTTCCTCTCTCACCCATTTTTACCCACATGTGTACATGTACATGCACTACATGTATAACTTTTTTACTGAGAGTAGCTGCATGTACAATACATGTACATTATTTTTGATTAACATTTCTCAAGGGCAGTAGCTCATGCATGAAGATTTCTCTCTCTCTCTCTCTCTTACATCTGCCTACATTTATGTACTGTACAGTGTACATCATAGCTAGTATATATACATGTATTTCTCTCCTTTCATTAGCATATTGTTTCTCTCTTTTCCTCTCTGAATATTCAAATCCTTTCCTCTTGTTAATTCTCTAAGAGTAAACACACTCAAATGTCATGTGCTGCCCTGCCTTTTTTGATCTCTCTTGATATTTTGTCTCTTGGCAACAAAAGACAATAAAGAAAGACAAACAACATTTTTCCCCTGATCACCAAAGAGGGAGATAGAGAGAGAGAGAGAGAAAGAGAGAGAGACGGGGGGAGGGAGGGAGGGAGAGAGAGAGGGGGGAGGGGGAGAGAGAGAGGGAGAGAGGTTAGCAAAGAAAATGGTAAATGTTATATAATCAGTCATTATTGATGCCTGTACTTCTAATGGGCTAATGAGAGAGAATGAGGGAGAGAGGGTAGGAGTGATATGTTTCCCAGTATGCGTTGTTTCATACTGTCATCGTTAGGCTGGTATAGAATGTTTACCAATTTCCAGCTAACAAATGGCTTCAGTTTTATTGATGCAATAAACAAGTGTTGCTACATGTCTACAATTACCAGCTGTCCACTCACCCAGGACCCTCAGTGATCCCCCTTGCCAATTAATATGCAAATAAGCATGCATGACATCTAAAGTCACCAATTAGATGTAATTTATTTTTAGTAAAATTAGTATATAAATGCATAGTATAATGGAATCGCTCCTTCTAGTGTACACAAATGGCCTATTGGTCTATTGATGTACATGTACCTTATTATCTTATAATAATTATACTTTATATTGTACATGTAGTATGTGTACATTGTAAGTGACACCTGTACTGTGGTAGGAAGGAGCTGTAGTGCTTCATGGTGGGGTGTACTAATTAGAAGGCTGCTCCTATCACTCCTCACAGTTTATCTCACGCGATCATCTAATTAGCAATTGAATTGTTTATACATTTCTCTGTCATCCCGTATCAACTCGGTGTAGTCTATAGTAAATCTTGTCTCCCTAATTGAGTTTCTTGATGTTCCTAATGATATTAAATACACGTACATTAAATGCAAGAGATTTCTGAGCCATGTAACAGGAGGCCACCATATTGACGGCGAGAGAGAGAGAGAGAGTGTGTGTTTTATTGGTCTGTTCAAAACATGTTATTCTTATAGCAGCTGCACAGTTATGCCTTTTAGCTCTCCAAATCCACATCATGCTTTTGTTATGACAGACAGTTTTGTTGACAAGAGAGTAAGTGGCATTGACACAAAGTCACCTTCCTTCATAGTCAATTGACCATCCTTCTGTCTCTATCTATATCCACGTACATACACTGAGATATGTAGCATTTCTGAAGCAATGTACATACAATGTACCAGTAATTATAGTGATTATTATTTGTCATGTGTAGTTGTATATCTACATGTACATAAGGATGTTTATGCATATCTTTTATTGTTCATGCACGTATTGTGTGATACATATAAAGTATGGTATTATTGTTCACATACATATATACATGTATGTACTCTTGTATTGTTCATACATTGTTCATACTGTATTTCCATTTCTTAATGCTTTTAATTGTGTTAGTTTTGTTAGCCCGTGTGTGTTTATTTTGAGTGAAAGTGTAGCATGTGGTTGGTTGTGTATGTTTATACTCTTGGCTTGTAATGGAGTCACATATGTACATGTACATGTACACATGTAGCTAATCGCTCCTCTCTCTTTCTCACAGCCATAGCCAAAACAGGTAGTGAGTAGCCTAATCTGTAACGCTAATTGTGATGAATTGCTCAATATGACTTATACTAATTTATTTGCACTCTATTTCTCCCCCCTCTCTCTCTCTCTTTCTGTCACTCATATGTCTCGATACTCTTACATCTCTTCCTTTTCTCATTCACATTATCAGCTCCAGTGCTATCCTGGTATGACAGTCCAAGAGGTCATAGACTCTCAGATTCCGTCTGTCACACACAAGCCTTATGTTGTTTATCAGTTCCCATCAAGAGCTTTACTTAATCCAGAGAAAGAAGCAAGCATGCTCCAGGATCAGGAGATATGGATCGAACCAGCTCACATGTTCATTCAAGCTGGTGAGTCTTCCTTCCTCCCTCTCTCTCTCTCTCTCCCCCTCTCTCTCCCTCTCTTTCGCCCCTCTCCCTCTCTCTCTCTATCTCCCTCTCTCTCTCTCTCCCTCTCTTTCTCTCTCTCTCTCCTTATCCCATATCCACCTGTGTGCTTTGATTCCTCTTGAGACGACAGTAATTATAGTAACTATGCCTTATGAGAGAGAGGAGCTCCTAATTATTGTGTAGACATGTATCCCCACCACTCACTCATTTTCTTGTGGAATGCTCCAATCATCACGAGTTCATGACTTGTTGTTGTTATCTTCCCCTTTCTCACTCACTCACTCTAGAATACATTGGAGTATATTGTATCTTCAGTATATAGTATTCCTTTGTGTCCATTGAATGATGATTGCTTTGTGTTCCTATAGCTTGTGTACACTCGGAGTGGGATGATTGATAATAATAGTAATGATTATTTTGTTGATATTGTAATTGAATTTTGGGTTTATCTACATGTACCTATGGCAATAACATACCATGTCTAATAATAACAAAACCGACAAACTGCAATTAAGTACTACACTTACGTGTACATGTACATGTATATGATGAATTTTCTCATCGTGAACGGCTGGCAATAATACATGTAGTTTGTAGTTTATAAAGAGGATTGTTGATACATGTAGTAGAGGTTTATAGTGTAATGTATGATCAACATAGCATTTGATGAGCTCCAGTGTATTCTTTGTTGTTACACTGTTGCCTGGAACAGAGTTTCATGTACGTGCACACGAATTTGTATGTATAGTAGGAATGTCATCCTGTTTTTCATGGCCTGATCGATCATCTCCACGACTGAGTGGTGTGGCATTCTCGTTGATGTTATAACAACAGTACACCTCCACAGTTTGGTGTTCCTGCTATGTAATGGTATGCATGTACTGACTGCCTGACTCTATAATTATCCCTACCCTGGGAGGGAGTACATTATATACATGCATGTACATGTATGCGTATTTATGTGTGTGCATGTCCACATTGTTCATGGTGGTTACCCGTTGATAGGCTATCTTGCATTCTTTTGTTTGATGTGATTAGTTATTGTTTTTGTTATTCTCGATCCTCTCCGTTGACTTGATTATATCATAATTACACGTTAACTGTCAGGTGTTCGTGTACAATGTATATGCGTATGCATGTACATGTACATGTACATCCAGTTGTGTACTCCACAGTTCATGCACTAACTGGCTCTTTGTTGATAGGAAGCAATGTGTTACATTATAATCCATAATCGATGCCTCGTAGTAATTATGTCTGTCTCACTTAGCATTAGTAAGTTGTGTGTATTCGTATGTACCCAGCAAAGGAGCTATTTGTTGTTATTGCTCAGATATACACGTTGTAATATAGCCTTTATAAAGCTTTAATGTCATAGCATTGTTTTTGTGTGAATTGCTTGTAAGAATGCTTTCCTGTTTTGTGAATCAAGCGCTTGCATGATTATTTGGAAGGATATGGGGTCCATGTCAGTGTGTGTGTGTGTGCTTTGCT